ATCATTTCTTCTTTACATAGATTAGGTGTATTTGGTTTTTGTTTCAATAACGCATTTGAGATTTTAAATCTTACTGAATTCGCTTGATCAGTCGGAACACTGTTTAAGGCAGGTTCAATAACCGGAATAATTTCGGAAGCCATAAGTTGTGTTTTGCTCAAATTGAAACTGAGGCCTTTTTTAAGCAATGATAGTTCGTGTTGATTTAAATGTTTGTCAGATAGATTCACAACAATTTTGTTTATATCTAGTTCTTTGGCATTGTATCTAATCTTGTCATTATTGGAATTTGATGGATGTTTAAACATTTGTTCGAATTTCCTTATTTGACGTTTTTTTGTAATTTGATCATAAAAGTTTTCTTTATGTTTAAAAAATTCAACAACATTTGTTTTTATTTCTGATGGTATAATTAATGATAAAACATTATCAATGTTTGCAATACGTGAACGTAGAGATTCCAAATTTCTAGTGGATTTATGAATACGTTCTCTAAGAAATACTCTAGTAGCTGTAAAAGCTGCTTTTTGTGATCGTGGTGAATCGTCTGGAGTCTTGACTCGTAACGTTCTTGGATAAACAGACGATTCACCACGATCACAAAAAGCAGCTTTTACAGCTACTAGAGTATTTCTTAGAGAACGTATTCATAAATCCACTAGAAATTTGGAATCTCTACGTTCACGTATTGCAAACATTGATAATGTTTTATCATTAATTATACCATCAGAAATAAAAACAAATGTTGTTGAATTTTTTAAACATAAAGAAAACTTTTATGATCAAATTACAAAAAAACGTCAAATAAGGAAATTCGAACAAATGTTTAAACATCCATCAAATTCCAATAATGACAAGATTAGATACAATGCCAAAGAACTAGATATAAACAAAATTGTTGTGAATCTATCTGACAAACATTTAAATCAACACGAACTATCATTGCTTAAAAAAGGCCTCAGTTTCAATTTGAGCAAAACACAACTTATGGCTTCCGAAATTATTCCGGTTATTGAACCTGCCTTAAACAGTGTTCCGACTGATCAAGCGAATTCAGTAAGATTTAAAATCTCAAATGCGTTATTGAAACAAAAACCAAATACACCTAATCTATGTAAAGAAGAAATGATTGCTCTAAAACAGCTACGTAAAGACAGAAAAATTGTTATTATGAGAGCTGATAAGGGAAACACCACTCTTGTTATGAATAATTCTGATTATGAGAAAAAAGTCAATGAACATCTCCAATCTGGACCTTATGAAAAAATCAAGGTTAACAAATGTAGAGCAACTTTGAATAAGTTGAAAGCCGAAACAGCCAAAATGCTACAGACTTTAAAACCGAAACTAGGACTATCTCTATGGTTTTCTCTATATCCAAAAAGCAACAAACCTTGCAGATTTTATGGATTACCAAAAATACATAAAACAAATGTCCCAATAAGACCTGTTGTTGATTATACCAATTCACCAACCTACAATCTTTCTAGATACCTAGCTAAGATTCTTAAACCATATGAAAGCACAATCAGACACGGAATAAAAAATTCTAATGTTTTTAAAGATGTTATCTCTAATATTCGCATAGAAGAAGATGAAATAATGGCAAGTTTTGATGTTTGCTCATTATTCACTAATGTTCCAATTAACAAAACATTAGATATTATATATAATCTATTAGATTCTGACACTGATCTTAAACAACGCTGTCCTTTAGTTACCTCGGATATTATTAAAGCGTTAGATCTATGTTTACGTTCAACTATATTCAGTTTTCGAGGGGATTTATACAGACAGACAGAAGGTGTAGCTATGGGATCACCAGTTTCCCCAATTGTTGCTGACCTCTTTATGCATTCATTGGAAACTAGTGCCATCTCATTATGTTCTAAGGCATCAAAAGTATGGTTAAGATATGTAGATGACACCTTTGTCATCATAAAACGGAACCATCTGGATGAAGTGTTTAAACTTATCAACAACTTTGATAGAAAAATCAAGTTCACCAAAGAGTTGGAATCTCCTGAAAACAAATTACCTTTCCTAGACTGTATAGTGGAAAGGAAAGTTAATAATAGCTTAAAAATTAGTATATTTCGAAAACCGACAAATTCAGAAAAATTTCTAGATTTTAAATCGGCACATCCACACTCAACCAAAGTGACAGTAGTCAAAAATATGATTACAAGAGCTCAAAAACTTGTCACTGAACCAAATGATATGAAAACGGAAATAAATTTAATTACATCTACCTTAATTATGAACAATTATCCAAAAGATTTTATTAAAAGAATAATTAAGAATGAAAGAAAAGACGATATTGTTAATACAAAAAGATTACACAAAAAGGAATGGGTTAACACAGTAGTGATCCCATATCGGAAAGGAATTTCGGAAGATATTCGAAGAATCTTAAATAATCAAAATATAAGAGTATTTTTTCGAACAAACAATACTCTAAGATCAAAATTAGTAAGAATTAAAGATCCAATACATAAAGAAGAACAACAAAATTGTGTCTATGAAATCAAATGTAGTGACTGTAATGCAACGTATGTAGGTGAAACATCAAGACAACTGAATGTGAGGGTGAAGGAACACAAACAATGTTTGAAACATATTCCTAAATCCTCAGATGATGTAAGGAAATTAGAGAACAAATCAGCGATAGCATTACATTCGATAGAATCAGGTCATACAATTGATTTCGATGGCACAAGAATCCTTCAAAAAGCTTTTAATTCTTACAAGGAGAGACAAACAGCTGAAGCCCTATACATTTGGGCTAATCCAAACAATATTAATAGGAGGGATGGAATACAATTAGTAGTGCCATGGCAGCTAATCATTAATAAGTAACAACCTGAACTCCTTAATGTTTTTATCGAATTCGTATTATCTAAAATGACAACAATTACACTCAATGATTTTAATCTATTGTCTTATCGGAATTTGTTAAACAATTCATTGTAACATTAAAAATGACACATACATACAGTCAAAAATTACGATCTTCAAATTTCACCTTTATATTTTTATTTTGTTTAATTATCATCATGTTATACATACTGAGACAGATATGATTCATATCACATATATTACAAATTGTATGTTTCCTTATAAATTCATTGATAAGAGACAATATCTAATGTGAATGTAATTTTCTCCTCTCACCTCTTACGTTTTTCTATACAATATGTTATATGAACACTCATTACTTCAAATCACATATCTCTTAAACATACCTAGTTTAGACTTATTGTTAACTTTGATTGGATGACCTATTCAGTGTATAATGAACTCGAGAACCATGTACCTTTTTATATTCGATAATTTTGATGTTTGATTATAATTCCTTGAAAAAGCTTGGACCAGATTGCCAGGCGAAACGTTTTATTATTATTATTACTCCATTTCCCCTTTACTTATGTCTTATATTCTCATTATTTTATTCATGAATACTCATCACATCATCTTATTTATTTTTACACCTCTATGACCTTTAATTATTGTAACGAAAACATTTTATTCATTTTAATCATCTTATTATAATCTTGGTTATTAGTTTATATAAGAACTCTCGTCTAAATTAGAACGAATAGTTTCACAGTATTTGAGCGCCGAGTTGAAGTAAGACATTAAATAGGAATAATATATTTGTAAAATCTCAGCGAATGAATTTTTTAAATTAAATCCAACGTTTCGCCTGGCAATCTGGTCCAAGCTTTTTCAAAGAATTATAATCAAACATCAATTATTCGATAATTTTGATGTTTGATTATAATTCCTTGAAAAAGCTTGGACCAGATTGCCAGGCGAAACGTTGGATTTAATTTAAAAAATTCATTCGCTGAGATTTTACAAATATATTATTCCTATTTAATGTCTTGGTTATTAGTGTTCACATTACCTCATGGAATCAGTACTTTAATAAAACATTTTCATATATATACGATTGTACAGCTTGATAATAAATTCGTTGAAAAGAGATCACTTCGCTGAACTTCGAGTTTTGAATTTTAATGTTTAAATGGGTATTATATACCTCTTAGTAACTGATTCATACTCGTTGTTGATAATTCCTCAGTTGCTCAATGACTATCAGATAAAAGCAAAATTTAAACTCATTATTTTTTATATTGTAAGAAAGAAAAAACGATTTGCAGCATCTTCTCTACATGAGAAACAACCGTTACGTAGACGAAACACAATAACGGTTTATTTTGATTTATAGTGTGAAGACAGTTTTAGAACGTCCATGTAAATTAGTAAATTAGAAGACCTCATGAATTTCAATACAATTGCCTAACTTTCTTCTCAATATTAAGTTAGCAAATGTTTGGTAACGCCATCATTGAAATATACCTTTTTAGATCAATATAATAGTCACTGATAAGTGAAGCAACAATTTCACTGTTCACTTTATATGTTATCAAAATTGAACCATTACCTCATTTAAAAAATGGTTATTTTCATACTACAATTTCATCACATAATATGCCATATACACATTACATCACCAAATGAAGTATTTAAACATGAACCAAACCAAGCAAAAAATATGAGAAGTTTCTGACAGCTAAATATAACTTTATTCTCTGGATGTCTTGAAACTCGATCACTTTATTCGATTCCTTGTTAGAGGCTAAATATAACTTTATTCTCTGGATGTCTTGAAACTCGATCACTTTATTCGATTCCTTGTTAGAGGCTTAACTGTAGCATATAATGATCCACAAATCTCATTCTACAAATGTCTGATAATTATTAATTTCAATGAGCTCTTTCTCACCGGATACTGTGTACGATTAAACTATTTGTTCAGTTGAGTAGACTAAAATAAAAACTACAAATCAGAATAAACTTGTGAAAATTTTGATAGGTTTATTATTAAATTTGTCTATTTGTTTTAATGTAATTATTTGTTAATGAGGTTCAGTTGTTACCATTAAACTTGTAGCCTTAGTTATCAGTCTATTTCCTATCATTTTTAAAAATAGTGACGTGAACCTATCATCAAAACAAATGCTCCGCTGTATTGATTTTTATTTATTGTGGCTCGTAATGTTCTGCAACATTATTCCTATTACAACAATCACTTCAACTTATAAGGTAGCTATTTTTGTTCTTTGTAATTTACTAATGTAATTTTAACTTATTCGTTACAAGGAACTAGTCTGGAATGTTCAGTATAATGTATATGTAGTAACTAAACAACTTTTAGTTAATGTTTTCTTTGGTTATCAGGTTAGAAATTTTCACCTGAGATGAATGTATTCATTTTCCTTATGTACCAGGTGGTAAATGTTTTATGCGGTTTAAGAATTGTATAAACCACATTAGAAACTAATGTGGGATCTACTGCAGTAGTATACTGTAAGTATTTTCGCACCGCAGCTCTGAACGATTAACACGTTTTAATCTATTGAATGATAAATTTTGTCGAACCCCATAAAACGAATATTTGTGGTATTATAAAATGACACATCAAAACGACTATCTTTTGGTGTTGCTATTACAAAAATGCTTGACTACTAATTGATATGTTTGTAAAGTTGATTGTTGTCATCTGGATTACATGTTCACATTTACCCTTCAGTATTCCGTCTTAGCAAATGAGTAGTCAATCAAATGGCGTTTGTGAATATTTATTTGAATGTTTCTTTACAAGTCTGATTTTTATACAACCGATAACTCAATTTTTATTCTTTTTTTTTGTTGAAGCAATTCGGTCAAAAGTACATTTCAGACGACAGATTTTTGTCAGCCATAGTTACTGTTTCATCTTTGTTTAATTGTGCTGGTCGTGTAATGTGGGGTTCGATCGCTGACCGATTTTCGTTTAAAGTATGCAATATACTTTGATGCTTAGTTAATACTCGTATTTTTAAGTATCCTCGAATGTTGAATAAGTGTTGTTTTAAACTAGAAAGTTATTTTCTTATAACGCTTATTTGGGCTTATATTACGATAATAAAAACAACACAACATGACTAGAAGTTTTGAGATATTACGTTGTTTTGTGATAGGTGATGCTTCAAATGATCATGACCATTAGGTTACTCATAAATGCGAAATTGTACACCAATTAAAATACGACAACGAATGTTTTCTGTTTTCAATCACTAAACTTACGGAACGTTTCCTTTCTAAGTTTACTGTGACCAGAATAAAATAAATCCATAAAATGAAGTAGATTGGAGTATGTATTTGTAACTGAGCAGAATAAGCATAACAGAATGAAGCTTATTGAACTGAAATGAACTAATAGAAGAAATTGACAAGATAGCTGATTCTTTAAAATAGACATTTTATCCATTCTTTCAATGCGTACCCGAACCTGACAAATCAATCTTATGGAAAGACAATTACAGTATTATTGCTTTTCATATATGTCTACTAGAGAAGATTTCTTTTAACCGTTTAGTCAATTAGATGCGTCTAAGTGGGACGTGGTCACTTGTATGTATCAGTCACTTTGCTTATAGGTTTAGTAGCCACTTTACCTATTCATCATGTTTAACTTAAAATTCAAGCATAAACATAAAGCTTCTTAAAAGATGGTGTAGCCATACTCTTAATTTGCTGCAAGAGAGCTTATTTAGCACCACATTGTGTTTAGTCTTCAAAGACCACCAAGGTTTTGTGTCTATCTCCCATGCAAGGTTATTAGACAAAAGCTGAAGCACATCTATTTAGGTCAATCCTATGGTTTTATCAACAACTGTAGTTATTTAATCTTCTCAAAAAGATCATTTGGTTCAAACGTTGAGTTGTTTGATTCCGAATTTGGAAATACATTAACATTTTATCTTTTTTTCACGACGTCTATGTTTTATAAAACCTTACCGATGGACTAACTTCTGGAGTTAATTACTAATGATTTGTGCTCCAAGTTATCTTGAAACTCTTTTTAGAACAGGTTTTGTATTTAAAAAACTTGGAAAGTTTCATGATAAAGGTTTAATGTTAACCTGGGCGACGGTATTCTAGATACCATCCATTGTACTGCATCATAATTCATGACTCTTTATTCTGTTTTTGTTCACGTATTTTAAATTCACTTCGTATTTTCAATGAATTAAAGACCTAAATCCTGTTTGAATTTTAACAAAATGGTTCAGATGAAATGTGTTCACCCATTTCTTTCCTCTCATATAGGTGCCATTATGTGTAAAACTTACTATTTGGTCTGTCGTTCTGATGACATTCCCACATTTGTCATTATTTTCGGAAACAGTAATTAAAATATTATTTCCTATTTGGGTATTCGTCTTATTTACCTTATTCTGCGGAACACTTGTACTCATTCCAAATGCAACTGGCACAGTTTTTGGGCCAGCCAATTTAGCTGTGAATTATGGTTTAATATTTCTAGCATTTGTAAGTTTTTAGTAAACTTTATTTGTTATTTGAATCACATCGATATATGATGGTAATTAACCCATATTTTTAATTTATAGCCTTCAAATTATACTTCAGATAAATTCACTGATTTCTTCAGTTTGCTAGTACACATTTACTTTTAGGTGATATATATGTAAGTACAAGCACCAGACAATAAAATCGGAACATCATAATATTGTCACATCTAAATAAACGGCTAGAATATATCCTTTCATTTTTATGCATCAATTACTTCTATAAAACAGTAAACTTTACTAGTCACTTTCATGATCACTCCGTTTGCGTACTTCATTTTTTGTATTGTTTCTTTTTTCATTAATGATTTCCATTAACTTTGGATTGATTTAAAGATGAAGTTGAGCAATCAGTACATAAAATAAATATTAAGCGACAACAGTAATTGGAATGTAGTAGTAATTTCGACATTATTCGAATTCGGTAATCAAAGTTAAGGTAAAAACGTTTGACATACCTAACAAAGTAGAAGGTTGGATTTATGAGATAATTAAAACCGTTTAAATACAGATGTATTGATTAAATCTTTTCTTCTCTTTCCTCGGTTCTAGTCGTTCGGAAGTTTTGCATGCGCAATTTTCACAACATTCTTAACCCCAGATGGCGCTTATGTATTCCAGTACACTTCCTGTGGAGCCGTTTGTTTAGTGGGTAAGAAAACATTTTTATATGTGTACGAAATATTTCTGTAGCTTGTACTCAATACTGTTCAGTGAGGGTTTTAGGATGACCAATCTTTTAGATAAACTTATTACAGAAACCAATGAGCAAAGTTAACAATTAGATGCTAAGCCAATGCCACATTTTGTATAAGATTCATATTTAAGGATTTTGTGTCATTGATTTATATTCCAATGGTCACTGTCAAGTCTGCAAAATGCGTTTTCATTTATTGAGTAGACAGAATGCAACCAAACCCATAAATAATTAAAAATTCAAGCTCAGGAGCACTGTCAAAATTAACAAAAACAGTATGTTGTTTCGGTACATAAATCATGTGGCGTTGGCTGGAGCTTCTTTTGGACCTGTACCATAAAATGCCGAATAAATTTTTAATTTAAAAGATTTTCAGTGCTAAATTTAGTTTGTTTTCATTTAGGAAACAAAGTAGAATCGATCAACTTCACAGTCATTCTTAATTTAAAAACAGAATATTTTCATAAATGCATTAACATTGTTTAGTATTTAAAACTTTTGATTCAAGTAAGATGTATAAAAGGTAATTTAAGTATAAAATCTATGTTTAAAACACCAACCGATTATTATCATACCTTTGTGAACGCTGATAATGGCACTAAACTTTCAGTTATGACAAATTGTACAAGTAATTTTTATTTACAAAAGAGCGAATATGAATTTTATGGTTTAAATAGAAGATAACGATGTGTAGGCTGTTGTTTTAAAGAAGTGTTTAGCTAACTTTTAGAATAGTTGGATCATAAACACTTATATTCTAAAACTCTACATATGTTACATTTGAAAATTCTTATGAAGAAGAGTTACTCAATCGGTAACAAAATTTTAGAAACTAAACATTTACCTTACGGAATATATTTAATTATATAAATAATAAATGTCGTAATCTTCTGGACTATTTTGGTTTTCTGAATAATGAAAGAAAATTGTCTTCAATCATTAGTTTTTTCATTAATACGATATTCATAACTAATCATAAATTTTTTGAGTAATTCGCGAACAGACTAATTATCATTACAAAATAATTAAATCTTCATGAAAAACTAACAATTGTGATTCTCGCTAGTCCTAAAGCTTATTTAGCAACACGTTTTCAATATCGAAGTCTTTCGTACCTTACATTTTACACACTTTTTTCATTATAACCTCTGTACGAACCATCATTGATGAATGAAAAGACAAAAAGAGCGCATAGTTCTTTTCAATTAGATTTTAGTCTTGTCTTTACACTAATATATGAGATTTACAGTAATAAATTAACAACGAGTAGTATTGTTACACAATAAATTAGCAGGGTGAATAATTTGGTTCAATAACATTTCATCGAAATATTTTTTATTCATGAGGTGTCATTACGTAGTCTAAAAGATGTCAATTTTGAATGCCCCTATTTTTGCCAGATGTGCCTAAATATCAATCCAAATGATCAAGTTGTAAAAAAACCTATTCCATCAGTTAGCGTGATCGAACAAATATGAACACAATTTACGAGGACGAATTTCAAACATTTTCCATTACTTTTAGGAAAAACTGTTGAAAGCATTTAAGATTTTAGACTGAAGAATGGATGTCAAAATCAAACAATGCAACGTTTATATACATTAAATATTTTTCAATTTAGATACAGTAATGCTTTATTTTCTTTCTCTACGTTTAGCACTGTTTATCGTATTATGGATCGAGGATAGAAAAACACCAGAGAAATGTCAACTATGTGAATGTTTCGTTAGACGTTGTCTAAAATTACGAGTAAAACAACCATTATGTAGTCCACATGAACTACAAGCGCTTAGATCCTAATATGAATGATCGGTTTTGCGATATTTAATATCTGTGGCTCGAACGATATATACATATATATAATCTTTTAAAGTTCCATAAACCATAACTTTATAAACCTTAGAGAAGTTAACGCACAAAAATACTGCTTTTAATATTATTATTATTATTATTATTATTATATTAGCGCTGTTACAATTGTCATTGAATCTTTCGATTTAAATGAGAATAAACCTTGTAATCAATATTACTTCTACTCGTATAAAAGTTGTAATAATAATAGTCTTTATTTTTCTTTGATACCGCTTCAACTTGTTTTTTGGTTGTGTGATATTGCATCTGATAAAACAAAACGTTTGTCATTATTTCCAATGAAGGTCTAAATAAAATAATAAAAATAGAAGATATTTACATCATAGACACTAATAAAAATGTAATAATTTATATTGAATCTCGACTTTTACTACGGTCATTATAAATGTTGAAATACATACCGATAACTTAAGACATATTTAGCGAGGACAAACTTCCCGAAATAAATAGTTTGTAAATACTTGCAATTGATGCTGACAATGTTATTTTCAGTTTAAACTGCTTGTTGGGACTGATTAATTAAACATCATGACCATGTTCCAGCACAGCCTACCTTAGATGATTTCCTTGATCCAGACAGTCATCCTAATAGACACATCCGTTTATCTCCGTGTTCGTTATGTTATCTCTCAAGTGTTTATGTTTTGAAGTTGAAATCATTAGTCAATTGAAGCTAGACCACCAAGGAAAACCTGGAAACACTGGACGGCCGTTTCGTCCTATTATGGGATTCCTCAGCAGTGCGCATCCACGAACCCGCTCTCGCGAGGTTCGAACCTAGGACCTACCAGTCTCGAGCCGAAGCCCTTAACCGATAGACCACTGAGATGGCATCCAACGGTGTTAATGTCTAACTTCAACTGATCCACGAAGTTGAGCAACCATTCACCAATTGTCATCAGTGAGTTCCTATCTCACGACAGACGTGGTTTGCACTCCACTGGTCACTGCTTCCACTAGAACTCCAGGACATGTATCTTGAAGTCTAGTGGAAGCAGTGACCAGTGGAGTTCAACCACGTCTGTTGTGAAATAACAACTCACTGAAGGCAATTGGTGAATGGTCGCTCATAATTCGTGGATCAGGTGAAGTTAGACATTAACACCGTTAGATGCCGGCTCATTGTTCTATCGGTTAAGGGCTCTGGCTCGTAACTGGTAGGTCCTGGGTCCGAATCTCGCGAGTGCGGGATCATGGGTGCGCACTGCTGAGGAATCCCATAATAGGACGAAACGGCCGTCCAGTGCTTCCAGGTATTCGATGGTGGTCTAGCTTCATTTGACTCATGACTTCAACTTTGAAATATACTGAAATCTCCACAAATCCCCTTCTGTTTTGGTTTTCTTGATAATCTTTGAACTGTGTTGACTGGAAGATATCATTATCAGAATCCTTTGACTTTGCCGTATACAGAGCGATTTCGGCGATATAATAAAGGCAATACTTGTTATATATATACAGGTAAATTTTAATGATTTTGTAAATATATTTATGATTGTACTAGTTATTGTAAATATAAATAAATGTATATAACATTACTTATTTACTTACGCCTGTTACCCCTCATAGAGGAGCATAGGCCGCTCACCAGCATTCTTCATTCAACTCTATCCTGGGCAATCCTTTCCAGTTCTTTTCAGTTAACATTCATCCTTTTGATGTCTGCTTCCAATTCTCGGCGTAGTGTGTTCTTTGGCCTTCCATTTGCCTCGTGATGCCGTTTGGTGATTTCCTCAATATGTGTCCTATTCACTTCCAACGTCTTTTCCTAATTTCCTCCTCAGATATAAATTGGTTTGTTCTCTCCCACAGTAGGCTATTGTTGATGGTTTCCGGCAGTAGTATCTCACGTAGAAAATTGTTTGGAAATACCTGTGCGTTTTGGATGATGTTTGTGTTATTTCTCCACGTTTCGGCTACGTACAGTAGAAGTCATGACGTTTGTATTGAAGATTTTGACTTTGATATTGGTTGACAGTTGTTTGGAGTTCCACATTTTATTCAAGTGTAGGAATGCTGTTCTTGCTTTACCAATCCTTGACTTTACATCTGCATCAGATCCTCCTTGTTCATTGATGATGATGATATCCAAGTTCGTAAACGTTTCTATCTCTTTCAGAGTTTCTCCATCAAGTGTGACTGGGTTGGTGTTCTCTGTGTTGGATTTGAAGATATTGATTTTTCCCTTGTTTGTATTTAGGCCTCCTGATACAGAGGCGCCTGCTACACTAGTTGTCTTGACCTCCATTTGTTGGTGTGTATGGGATAGAAGGTCCAAGTCGTCTCTAAGTACAAATCTTCTAACTGATTCTGATATGTTCATTGTATTCAGTGCTTTTTCTTAGATATGGAGGTCTCCATAATCCAATCGACCACCAGAAGAAAGAGGAAGGGGATGAGTAGGCAGACTTGTCTGACTCCGGTCTTCACTTGCAATACACCTGTGAGCTGTCCTCCATGCACAACTCGCAGTGTGGTACGTCGTTAAAATTCCGTACGACGTTGAAGATTTCCTCAGGTACATCATAGTGTCGAAGATGGTTCCATAAAGCTCTCCTATCCACTCTGTCAAACCCCTCCTCATAGTCAGGGAAGTTTATGTATAATGATGAGTTCCATTCAACTGATTATTATTTATCTATTTAAACACATAAATATTGGTACAGGGAAGCCCCAGATACATATGCGCCATACAAATCCCATTCGATTTGCTTGAGGGCTGTGATACTGCTCAGGTACCCGGACTGAAGCAGGTGGTTTTCTTAGGGGCCCACACCCGGAGCTTTTGACCGAAAGATCTGATCCACAAGGCAGTGGAGTATCGTGAGGAGATTTAGTCCCATGGTAGCCGGTGATCAACGATTGATTCATACGCTATTTGTTCCCTCAGGGTACTGGAGCCCATGTGCACCATTGGTTTGGAATGAGGGTTTTCCAACTCCCCTAGGTGGACTCGCTTTGTCCACCAACCCGGTTAAAGCGCCGGACATTCGCTTTTTGTCCTCTGAATGTCGTAAACAACACCCCCGCCACAAGAAGGCAGTGAGTAGGACTTCCCTGGCAGAGGCCATATATTTGCTCGCCATGTGAGAGCATTTCGAGTGGGAGAGCGTACTCTCCTCACTCTCGGCCGTACCAGGGCATTTGAGGACAGTATACTATTTATTCAATTATTATTTATTCAATTGATTACTCAACAAAGATCCGTAATTTCGCAGTTTGGTCTGTTCACGACCGATCTTTACGGAATCCGGTCTGTTGATCCCGAAGTTGGACGTCTACTGAATCTTTGATCCGGTTGAGCAACACTTTGTTGGAAACGTCTCCTGGTGCTAACAGTAGTGTGATGCGTCTGTAGTTTTCACATTTGCTCAGATCTCCCTTCTTTGGTGTCTTGATGAGGTATCCTTCTTTTCAGTCCGTTGGCACTTGTTCTTCCTCCCAAATCTTCCTGAATAGAAGGTGAAGCATGTTTGCAGTTACCTCAATGTCTGACTTCAGTACTTCAGTCTGCTGCCTCCCCACTCTTGGTCTGTCTGATGGCCATCCAGATTTCTTCGACCGTTGTTGGAGTGATATCTTTAGGAAAGACTGTAGGTACTGCTTTATTATCCGGTGGATTCAATCGGGCTGGTCTATTCAGCAGTTCCTCGAAGTATTCTAACAATCTTTTCTCCTGTTCTCGAATCTCTGTGTTTGTCTTTCCTTCATTGTCCTTGAATGATCTCTCTGGTTTACTATATCTCCCTACTAGTTTCTTCGTTATGTTATATAGTTGTTTCATATTCCCTCTCTTGCATCTTTTTCCACCGTCGTTGCTAGCTCTCCCGCATGTTTCTGCTTGTCGGCTTTAATGTTCTTCACTTGCTTGTTTACTTTTGTGTATTCAGTTTGTGCGTTGAATTTCTGTGTTCTTGTTCGACGGTTGCTAATTGCTGTCTTCTTGTTTTTCCCTTCTTCAATCTTGTCCAGGGTTCTCATAGAGTTCCGTTCCTTATGATGATGCTTCTTGCGACCCAGAACCTCCTGACACGTTGAGGTTAGTGCTCCATTTACTCATTTCCAGTGTTTCTCTACAGTAGTTTTCTCTTCTTTGAGTAGTTTTGTAAGGCTTATAATCTGTTGTTGAATTGGTTGAGTTAGTCAATTTGTCGAAGTAAGGCTGTATGGAGCCTTTATATTTCTGTTTGTCTGGTCATACAGTGTTTCTTTAGCTTCAGTTCCATCTTGGCGACACTCCAGTGGTGATCTGAAGCCTTGTCGGCTCCTGTCCTCGTTCTCACATCTTCCATTGTCCTTCTGAAGTTTTTAACGATACAAATGTAATCTATCTGATTCTCCGTGGTGTGGTTCGGTGAAATCCATGTTTTATGTATGCGTTTGTGTGGGAATATTGTGCCGCCAGTAACAAATTTGTTGAATGCCCAAAAGTTTCTAATTTCTTCCCATTTTCATTTCTCTCTCCCAGTCCATGTCGTTCAATTATATCTTCACATCCTCTGTTGTCCTCTCCGACTTTCGCGTTTAGTTCTCCCATCAGGATGGCGAGGTCTTTTCTTGTGCAGTTCACTTTGACTGATTGCAGCCTCTCATAGAACTGATCTTTGTGTTGTCGTTGCTATCATTAATGGGTGAATAACGTCGGATAACATTCATTGTGATCACCCCTTCTTTGTTTTGAATAGTGCTTTGATAATTCTGGATCCGTGAGATTCCTATCCTATAAGTGCATCAAGTGCTTCCTATGACAGCATCAGAACAACTCTCTGGATGTGTGGAGCATTTTCTTCTTCATGAAGAGAGTACAGCAGCATCTCTTCCGTATCTAACCTTTGCTGTCCAGCTTGTGTCCAATAGGTTTCTCTGATTCCAAGTACTACCAATTTGTATCTCCTCATTTCTGTTGCTATTCAACTGGTCTTTTCGGTCTCCCACATTGCCCGTACGTTCCATGTACCTACTAAAATTGTTGCTCTGGTTGTTAGAAGGGGCATCGACATCGTGTCTTTCGAAGAATCTGAACTTTCATCCGTAAGTGTAATAATTCTTCCTTGAACTCGGAGGACACAGTTTAAATGGTTTAAGTTCTTTAGTCTGGTCGGCGTTCTTATGGCAAGATTTTTTAAACATAATGCCCGATTCTCGTCCTTTACACGAGCTTGAAACCGGAAGTAACTCTAGAACGGACACAGGAGCAGTGAGATACAAGCTTAGACTTCACCATAACAGAAACTCACTTGAGGGGAATGTGACCAACACTGTATTTACCAAGTGGGACTTCCATTTCCTTTGTATACCGATAAACTACCAAGATTGCTTAAGTTATTGACACAACTATACCTAGATAATGTCAAATCCTGAAGGTAATAATAAGTAGGGCTGGTTATCGTAATCTGCGAGCTGGAGTAGACAAATGTATCAGATTATTTCCATGTGTGTTTTGAGGTTAGTTGTAAAAACAGAGATCTTGTACTTATCGGACACGAAAATAGACACTAGGACAGCATATACAGAGCAAGGACTCGACACCTATAATAACAAGAACATCTAGGATTGAGAGTCATTACTAATAGAAAAATAATTATGCAGTAGTTGATGAAGAACCAGATGATGAAAACTAATGTAGCAGCAGCCTCTGCATCAATAGTCCTTAACATACACAAAGGTTAAATCAAGATTCTCAAATACAGCACGGAAAACATCAGCCCAATCACACCTGATAGCGAAACTCTGGAAGAGGTGGAAAATTCATGTACCTGGACAGCGCCATCGAACGACAAGGAAGATCTGGTACAGACGAAGATGCACGGGTTGGCAGAACAAGGACGTCATTCCCTCAACTAGAGAACATATGGAACTCAAAACAACTGTCAGCCAATATCAAAGTCTGAATGTTTAATACGAACGTCAGGACAGTTTTATTATACGGAACTGAAACGTGAAGAACTACTACATCCATCGTCAAGAAGCTACAAGTATTTATAAACAACTGTCTACGCAAAATACTGAACATTCACTGACTGGATACTATCATCAATAGCATTTTATGGGAGAGGACAAACCAGCTTCCAGCTGAAGAGGAAATTAGGAAAAGACAATGGGAGTGGATAGGACATACATTGAGGAAATCATCAAACTGCATTATGAGACAAGCCCTATCTCGAACTCCGGAAGGGAAGCGGAAAAGAGGAAGATCAAAGAACACATTACTTTGGGAAATAGAAGCAGATATGCAGAGGATGAACGTTAACTAGAAAGAACTGGAAAGCATTGCCCAGGACATAGTTGGACGGGGAGTACTGGTTTGTGGCTTATGCTCCTCCAGGAGAGGAGGGTAACAGGAGTAAATAAATATGTACATGTACCTATTGAAGCGAAGCTGTGGATTTACTAATTGACTTAGTTCGAAGAAAAGCAACTGCTGTCAACCGCGATTATAGCACCCCAAGAGTGTGAATGTTACAGAAATTTGCAGCAAAAAATTGCAGCCGGTTGGTGAATGATTGAAAATCTCTACACGAACATGTGGTATCAGAAACACTGACAAAAATGTTTATTTTCAGCTTAGTTAGGGGGAAATGAAGTTAGTCAAACTCTTATAATGAGTGAACAGATCAAAATAGACAGGTTTAGGTATTTGAGAAGTTTTGAAATCATTCGGTTGTAAGCTCCCCTTATTTTATATAAACGAATATATAATTGGGTTGTGCGCTTATAGAGTCTGACGTGACCTCTTTGATGTTTCAAAAACAACCATAAATATCCAATTTTCCATGACCATATTTGATTGTTTAAACACTTCCAAGGATACAGACTTCGTCTTCACCCTTCCAACGAACAACCACAATGACAAAACTGAAAACCATTGTAGCGGTAAAGAGATCCCCAAAATCAATAGCTCGCTAAGACTCCGAAATTTGACGCTGACCTCATTAGTTTTAAAGAACTCGCCTGGCTGAAGGCACTCGCTCATGCATCCGCACCAGACTACGAGTGAGTACATGGTGGTTCACTTCTTCTACAACCACTAGTCAGCTTAGATCGATCACTTCATGATATGTAGATAGCCTATCAAATATATCTTCGAACCTCTTCGCTTCAGACATTTGATTTCAGTGTGTTCGCACGTTTCGATTAAAAAGGTGTTGCTGGTTAATGGGTTGTCAAACTCCGAATACTTGTGGCATCTTTACCATAGTCATACTAACGTTGAATCATTGTGAGGTCGATCTAGCTGTCACAAGTAACTGCTCTCTGCTATGTCATTTGAATTCCAACATACACGCATCCATTTTTTTGAAAACACAAATCTTGTGGATAAATCACTGGATACACGTGAAGGCGCTTGCTGGGATGGTCAAAAAGAACGTTGCAAACTGATGTGATTCTCAGGCCTTATTCTCCTGTAGCACATATCCAATGATCTCCCTTATTCTTCTCCTTCAAAACTTCGATCTTCGTACTTTCTCCTCAAGTTGTTCCTCATTCTACTCTCTAGTCTTTTAGGTAGTATGCACAGCAATAGCGTTGCCATTAGTACGTACACTATAACTATAAGGACGAGAGAAGGTAGAGGTCTAAATTCAGTAATTAATAGCTATTCGAAAATTCCCGTTTCTAGGAACAGGATTATAAGAAAGCTCATGACGACATCACAGTAATGTGCTCAACATGGACCACCAAACTCAGACACCAAATCTGAGTCTCCGACGAAGTAATCTGGATCAAACTCCTTCACTGGTTCCTCTTTCTAGTAAGATTAATTAGCGAAAACGAAGGAGAAAAAGGCATTCTGAACTGCGAATGGTCTGACTACCGGGCAGAAACAACAGAAAAATGACAACTAAACGGCATGCTGGTCGTCAATTAAAACCAGGGCCTCAGAATCTGATTGTGGGTTCTTAAGCGGCTGTGTTCATTGTCACTATGATACCCCAGTACCCAAGCAGTTTTGTGGGTTTTCTTGTTTCTCGTGCGTTTTCCGACAGTGCAGAAAACACTCGCCAATGTAACTAATAAAGGGGAAGCATTAGACTCTAATAGAAGCAATCGTTTCCATCCCCACCAGAGTATCTAGATCGTTTATCAAAGGTTCACACAAACACGCTTCTAAAAGACCCCAAACAGAGCCCATACACGAATGAAATCAACACCTGTCGCCAACACTTCGAAGTATGTCATTAGTGAGGATCAGTGGATAACCGTCCGGAAGGGTATCAGAAAATTACAACCTCTAAAATGTTTTAAATGGATAACAAAGATATTTGATAGAAATCCATGATTTTTTCTAGTGTCCTAGTTTCAGTGAGTAGCTTATTAGAAAGTAGGGCAGCCTTTTATTAGGAACCGTGGGCAATAACAATGCAATCCTGACAAAGCGTATCCCTTCAGTCAAGCTATATCGTCTGTATTAGGGCCAGAACATAGTAGGAGGTAAATTCTCTCTTTTAAGTGTGACATGGGATTCAGCTCACGTTACAGAGTAGATTTTAATGACATCCTGGAAACCCTCGGCTCAGAGCTACTCTCAAACCTACGTTGGACACAAGGAACCGCGAGCCGTAGAAGATGCCGCCTAAATGTCACCAAACACTCATGAACCCACAGACACGGTGGTCCACCGAGCGCCTGAGCTAGTAGGCAATAGTCAGAATGATGCCAAGAAACATAGTATACCATAGTAGCTTTGGCCATCACGTACTATACACTCACACCATTACAATAAAACGCACGTCACGGCGACCTCGTCAGCCATACCCCATGATCACCAAATCTCCACATCTGATGGAGCTGAACTCCAGGAATCGCGAGGAATTAATGGATGTCATTCAGATCTGGTACAGCTCAAAAAGCGACCTCTATAGTCACATACAGCGTGAGGGTCAACCTTGATTTATATGGAGACAGCACAGTAGCCCAGTGAAATACACGTTTGAGTCGATCGACAATGATCAGCAACGTATGGTACGGAACACAGAGACCACATCATCCACGGATTTCCATCTCCCTCTTGAACTGGCGGCGTCTGATTCACATCACAATTTTCACCACAGTTATCATTACTGCATATCAGTTACTACAACCTATGTCTCTGATTATCATCATTGTTTCTGTTCCTATATTTTCAATTCCATCTCCTTGATTGTTACTAATTAAATTACTTAAAGATTTCACTAATATTTATGGTCAGGCGACGACTTTGTTCGCAACACCCTAATAATATGAGGATACCGACACAATCGAATCAAAAGTTAGTAATGAATATGTTCGAAGATGTATTTGTGAGTTTATCGATGTGTTGAGAATCGTTTGATCGGAACTGGCTATTAGTTGCAAGAGATGCATTACACGGCGTATCCTCCCATGATAAGGTGACGATACGTGACTGGGATTTTTCAGCTAGGTTGTGTTCAGTAGAATTAGTGGGGTCAGTATCAATGTCGTAGACCTAAAGAACTATTTATTTTCCTAGTTTGTTTAACGTCACTAACTTATTATTCTGAAATCAGTCGTCTTAGCACTCGAATTACCACTTTTTATTTTCACATGCAACGCACCAACCTTTTTCCTGGTGTCTCGAAACCCTACTGTTTTGAGACAAACACACTCAGTCAAATTACAAGACATATAAATCTAGATGTTGCTAACAAACTGACTATAATTAGTTCACTCGAGTTACTAAACTGAGATTGACTGGACATTATAGATTACCTGAAATCGTAGCGAGACAATAAGGAGTGAGCCAAAACAAATCCCTATATTCATACAAGCCATACAAGCTCGCGGCAAAATAATTGCATATTGAATGTGTTACTTTTGTTAAAATCTTTTGTAAAGGACCTGGTGTAATTGACACTATTACAAATGATCCCAGCTGTAGTGATGTTTGTTCGCTGTTTTCATATTGTGACTGAAATGTATGTTTGGTAGAAATGTTAAACATTTTCATAGTATGCAAGGTGATGGAACCATCGCAGGGTGTTTTGCGGTTTTCGGCGGATATTTAATCCACTTGTCCTATGGTTATTTATATTCCTTAAGTAAGCTATTTTCGGGTTTTCATAACCTTTGTTTCACCAGCAAATATGGTACCATACATAATGGGATATCTGATAACTTTCATTGACCCACATATATGCGTTCAAACATCCGTTTGGTTTTCTGCAGTTACTTTTGCTGTTTATGGCATCTTTATGCCACTTGGCGGATTTCTCTCGCGTAAAATTGGTTATCGACCTGTTCTAGCTCTCAGTTGTTTGTTTCTCAGGTAATAAACGTTTAGATTAGGTATATGTGTTTGATTAATATTAAAACAATCGAAAATGTACGAAGTCAAAAATCTCTTATTTGTCGTTACAATGGATATTAAAACGTTTATGGAATAACAAAAACTACTTTTAATATCTCATAAACCTCCACCGGGCAAAATATCAAAGCCATTTCACAGAATTAGAATGAATCCAGGCTAAGTTAAACAGACTGATTTTCATTACAAAACGAAACTGTTGTTGACATTCAAAACGTATTTTAGGAAAACATGGTGACCTTTTGTCTCGCTTGCTATGAAAAATACAAATTACAAATTGGTTGTACACGTTAACATATGCTCATTCACTATTTTTACGATTTACTGTTCAAGTGCCATAAATTTCAGTTTCGAGTTATATAATTCTCTTCAGTAGAATTAATTATATTTTGTATGGCAATTGGAACTATGGTATTTCCGAAATGCTCCGAAGTAGCAGTTGCATTGGAATTTTTATAACGATCGCCAACTCCCAAAACTCATCGCCACGTATTCTACTACTTATGGCTGTTCTATGAATAATACGGAGAGCACACCCAACTAATTCAAATATATTTTATTGAAGTTAAAATTGCAACATTGAGTGCATATTTACGGACAGCATTTGCGACAGCACGAATTCAGGTCTGGACTTCTGTAACTTGTTGTAACTTCACCGAATGTCTGACTTTGTGTTAGAAATAGAAGTCATACTATCGCAAAAAATCTATGAACAATCGAAATTAGACAGACCTGTCTAGATCTTCTGATTATATCTGATCCATTATGATAATTGGAAGTATTCCAAATTCCCAGAATTTTTTAATTTAATACAGATAGAACTAGATTGACACACTAGAATGCATTATATCTGGATTTTATAATAAGCGCTGAAACGTACAAAAAAATCATCAATTAGCGAAAATACTGTCTGCACATAATGGCTGTATGCACTTATATCATTAGTAACTGAAAACTGCCTCATAAATGTTTTCTTAAGTAGTTTTGTCCTTTATTCTGTATCAGGAGTTTCAAATTTTTTAATGCTAAATCAGTTTATCTATACCTCACTTCAGTCCTTGGAGTATTTAGGTAGCAATGGGATTAGTAACAGATTTAAAAGACTTTCATTTTCGGTCTAAGCATTAGAAAACTACCACTCTGAAATTGTGCATAATGTGTTTTGCTTTGAAATTAAAATAATATAGTTTGGTACAACTTATCAAGATAGTTTCCACTATGCAACAGAAAAGTGGTGTTGAAGTATTTGTAAGGTTTCTTAACCCATAAAAGATGATTATACTGATTAAAAATTTATAGCACATAAATTCATCATTTCTGTCTTTAAATATTAGAATGAATCATCCAAAAAGTGGCCAGTTTTTAACTGATAATACTCAAAATAGAAATAGTTAAATGTTTAATCACAGCATAGAAGTGTAATGGTCTTAAGTGTTTAACTGAAGCAGCAGATTCGATACTCTATGTCCCAATAATGAAGTCACAAATCAAACAGTTAATCGTATGTAAACTATACCGGATACGAAATTGGTTTCTTTAACGTGTAGATGGGTAGACAATTAAACCATCAAATAAGCTGTTCTACTGAAATATGAAGTATAATACTTGGTATTACAGGGGGCAGTGTGCATAGTGAAACAATATGCTGACTTAATATTACGAACTTTATTTTAATCAAAACATTAGGCATCGTTGAACGCATTTGACTTTTGAGAGTAAAAAGCATTTAAGTGTTTGCTTTAGTTCGCTTTCAAGCTGCGGTACATTGATTAAAACATTAAGACAATCATGCAACTGAATATGAGGCTTTTCTTTAAATTAACATTTAGTGGCTTGTTTTGTCAATTTAAGAACATAGTTCCCAACATTCTGTATAGTCTGACTGTTTTATAAAATTTGCCTCCTTATGGAGTTTATAGTTTATTCATTTGACGTGATTTAATGGTAATTCTTTGAGTTTCATAAAAATACTAAACTAGTCTATTTAAAAATGACACCCTGATGACTCTACAATAATTCAAGGCATTGATGGTGTTGAACTTACTATGTGAATTAGTAGTTCCTAGAACTAACCAGTATATACTTCACTTGTCAAGACTGGATCCGGATTAAAGACGCTGGAAACAGAGAATTTGCCGAGGTGTTTTGAAATAAGCACTGTTTGATGAGGGGCACACAAATCAATTATTAATTTTTACGGACAATATAGTTACTTTAGTAGGTATCATTTCCAACTTTTGTTAACTTTGATTCAGTTGTTTATTTCTTAAAGAAGTAGCTTACACTCATTCACGAAACGTCAGAAAATCTAATTTTTCTATTCATTAGGATATTACAAATATATCATTTATTTATAGTTACTTTAGGCTGAGATTAATATATTGCGTGTTAGAATTTTTTGTATGCTTGCACCTAACGTGTTATAAAAACAAAATCATGCATTATATATGTAAAAAGTTGACCATAACTGTTATAACATTGGCCGATCACTTCGATTAGTAATCTTCATCAACTGAAGCTGAATTTCTGTGATGTAGTATGATTGTTTAACGTATGTAATCGTACGTTATAGTCATGTTATATGATGAGTGCCCATTTTACTCCATAATAAACCGCGGTCAAGTTATCCCAGTGGTTCAGAAAAGTTAGAAACCAGATAAAATACTACTTTGTAAATGCTTTATCAAAGTGTCGAGGGAATAGAACTGTGTTGTATTGAAGGAGCTATCAATTGCTTTATGTTTCATTTTTATGTCACAAATCGATTACTTTGAGGTTTTCATGGTTGATCTCGATTGATTTTTGTAAATAATTCACTGTCCAATGTTCTGTCATCTAAGGCAGAGATATATTCAGCTTAAAAAATAGTTTAGCTGGGCTTCACTGTTATCCAACGTAACCTATTTATTATCATAACATCCTTGTCCCAAAAGATTTAAAGAATAATGTCCTCAATAAGAAAAACAGTAAAAAAAAATCGAACGAATTGTCACAAGTCACTTTGTACTCCCACATAAATATATCAATATCTCTTAAATTCATTGTTTGTTGTATTCTATGCAAATCATGTGACCAACTTAGAGCTCTGTAGCTTTTAGTTTTCTTTTTTATGGAATAATCACCTCATCAAATATTTTTTGCATTTTTGAGTTATGCGATCCAAATCGGAGCCAGTCTGTTGATATCAATGAAGTGCATTGCAGTATACCTATCAAAAATACGCTGTTTTTCTTACAACTACAGTTTTGATTTGTTTCATTGAAAATACTTTGTAAATTTTAATCGAAAGGAACTAGCACCTAGGACACTTCAGAGTCTTATCCTAATAAATTAATCCGGAAGGATCTTATAATTGATGAAATCAGACGCTGACAGGTACCATAGTTACCCATCCTCTTACACTCATACAACAATACACTGCTGTAGATTCTGTTTAAGTTTATTAAAAAGAACGAACTATCTATGAAATATGATCAGATGTTAGTTTCATTCTGCATGCATTGTGACAACATTGATAGATTAAAGATTTTATTGGTCACTATTTTGATATATTTAATTCTAGTTATTGCATTTTTTTTTACCTCCAAAGGTTAATTAAAACGACTTAGATATACTGTAAGATCAGGTTTGTAAATTTTTATCAAACGGTATCATAGATACCTGTTAAGTTTTAATAAATTTCTTCTTATTCTCTTAATTCTGTCATATTTTCAACATTTTTTATATTAATTTCTGTACGGGGTCACGTAAGTTTACCGGAATCTTCATAAGGCCTAAATATGTTAATTGTAAACAATTCCAATGCTTGCCTGAGCTCAGTTTTTTCCGTAAATTTCATTTGGCTTCATGAACGTCAATATATACATGTCCTAGGTTAAATGTACTAATCACGCTGAGTGAACCCGGTTTTAATTTCATAAACGTTTTAGACTTATATTTTGGTATTCTTTTATAAGAAATACTCAACATGGAGATATACTAACATACAGTGATTACACATGAATATTACTAACATAGGAACCCCAAAAACTGTTGACCGCCATAATATTAATACAACAAACATCATTTCTTGGTTGTAGAAAGCAATCCGTAAACAAGAAATTCAAAGGGCATCTTACTGTATTATACAACGAGAAATATCTTAATAAACATAACTAGTCAGATATGATAACGATAGTATTAGGTGTATCAGTCTATAACTTTTGTAGCTGATCATATACTTGAAGACATCAGCCTCATATGGTTACCACTAATTTGTTGAACAAAAGGCAAACTATAAATTGCCAAAATATGCTCAAGAATCAATATTATTTGTGTGGAGATGTAATAGGTTTGTTTATAGTTTTATTCAGGATAATCATCGTTCACATTATTTATACGCGGTTACCAGTCAGATCGTTAACATACAGAACGTGAATCTTGTTGACTGAGGATTTGTAAACCTCACACATTTCAAATGAGCCACATGTCGATATATTACATCATAAAATTACTTCACGATTTTTACATAAGTCGCCCAACACAATTGCTATATGATTAATCGTTCAGTCAAAAGTATTCACTGACAACATCCATTAGCTAAGATGACTGGTCTTTATAGGGTTATCCAGAAATTTTCTAACCAATAAAAGTCTGTCAAATAGATTAGACCTGTCTATTTCATAGAAGAAGCTATACATTATATAGAACCTGAAGTTATCGAGAGCGTTTCTTAGTAACCATCTACTCTAGTACATGGAAGCATCTGTTACAAAAACTTAGAATACTATTTCAAAACATCATAATACATAAAAGACAAATTTTATAGATATTCGTATTAAATCAGTATGGTTTATTGTTACTATCACATGAGCCAGAAACTTCCGAAATTAAATTCTTGTAGCGTCAAAGCGAAGAGTAGATTTCTAAGATTGAGAAAACAGGTTTTTCGAAAACTCGATCATTGCACTATTACTATTCTTATTTCATAGGAAAAAGTTACTACACTGAAACGAAACTCCATCAACCCATGTATTATACCTTTTTTAGTCGGATATCAAAGGAAGAATGTTTTGAGATTCTTCAAGTCTTTAGCATCTCAATTTCGCGAGTATTGATATTCTCAACTTTTAGGATTTAGAAAAGTAGTCAAAGCTATGGTGAGGAGAAAAACTAGATATTAAGGAGCCCAAAATGTGGGATCGAATATTCATGGCTTTTAGTCCAATGGATTGGTCGTGAAACTTCATTATCCAAATATCTTCGTGGCAAATCTAATGCAAGCAAACGACGAGACTGATAGTTAATGACACAATGTTTTACATCAGGCAAGTTGATGATAAAACACGAATGATCGATTGAGATGATATATTTATCGAAAGGAATAGTGAACTGAACTATACTTGAAACCCAATGGCTTCTGTTCAGAACGCTGTTCAACCTTATACATAGATTATTTTCAGAGGATAAGTTCAAACAAAAATTAATCGTAGTTAAAAGTAATTTATAAAATAACAGTAATCTGCCTAAAATTCAGTACTAGATATGGAAAGATCAGATGAAAGACATGGAATATGCTACTGTCTTTCTAAGACTTGAGTTGAAGAGTGATGAAGTAGACAAAATATTAAATACCATACTAAAAAGAATGTGCTCAATCTCCAGACTGATGTCTCTTAATCAAACAAATTCTTGATTGCGACACATTTCAGCATTATTCTACCTCTAACTGTGTCTAGCAGTCTACATATGCGTTCCAAAGAACAGATATTCGATGTAGAGTAAAAAGGATTAGCACCCGTATCTGTGGACACATTACACGATATCTAAGACTAAGGAAATAAGATTGATTTCGTCCGTATAATTACTTTTCATTTGTTTGACATTGGACATGATCCTGATGTTTCAAATTTCTTAAAGATAATTAAGTATGACATTAATCTTCCACTTCCATGCTCTTCTCATTTTTCCTCTACTAGAATATTTATATAATTATTCTGTAAATTTTTAACCGTTAGAATAACATTTTATTTCTACAGTTATTGTTCCCTAATATTCCACATATATATGTCAAATTGAACTTAATCAGAACTTTTCTGTTAATAAAATGTGCATACTAGTTTGGTTTTAATGATCAATATTACTGCTTCTAGGTTGTATGTAGTTGAAGAGTATACACGAAGTAAGTAAATTCATACTATTCTGATACTATCGTTGTTTTTATTCAATTCAAACAAATACGTGAAGTAAGCCTTAGCTATACGGAAACTGAAATCCATTTTATTTGTTCAGAAACAACTCTTACTCTCAAACTACCCCGATAATACTGATTCATTATCATGAGTAATTATTATATTGTTTTTGTGTACCATATTTTTATCCGACGAGGTTTTGTGGAGATTTTAGTAATTTTATCGTTGAATTCATGAGTCAATTAAAGACAGACCACCATGGAAAACCTGAAAGCACTGGACGGCCGTTTCGTCCTATTGTGGGACTCCTCAGCAGTGCGCAAGATCGGGATCGTGGATGCTTTATTTTTCTTTGTTACGGCTTACTTTTAATCTGTTTAGTTGACATTTCAGTTTTTATATAAAAATGTCTTAACAAGTATATAGTTGATCAGATTGTTCGAAATGTATTTCCCAAACATATCGCATAATTCTCATAACCTTTGTCTTCTCATTGTATTATCGAAATATTCGAAACGCAGAAAGTATGCCCTTTTCTTCCCTTTTACAACACTGATAGATTTGACAGTAACTTTCAATTGATGGCTACACTCGAGCAAATCCTCAGCCATTTATCCAAGTTTATATTTTTAAAAATGTTTTAACTAAGGCGGATTGAAAGTGTGATTCACCGTCTATCATACAAAATCATAGTCTAATATTTGAGGAATTTAATCTTCTTTTCTGTTTCAGTGGAGGTGTTTTATTATCTTACTTTACGATAGAAAAGACGTACGTTGGAGTTATTTTGACCTATTCTTTCCTGTTTGGTACAGGTGTTGGATTAGGCTTTTCAGTAACTTTGGCCGTTGCTGCAACAGTAACATATTTACAATTTTTATATTTAAACAGTTTTGATGCTCTAATTATTATAAACTTATTCAAAAATTTTCATTGTTTATTATTTTGATTGCAATACATTGGTCAGTTTGTATTCACGAAGATAAATAGTAATTTGTAAAGTAGTTAAAACTAGCCCCAAAATATCTAAAAGTTACTAAATTAAGTAATCAGTAATGCAATGTATCATCATACGGTTAAAATAGTTCCATACAAACAACTACTTCTCTCTACAAATAGTTATACATTTCAACATAAACCGTTAAACGTGCTGTATCACCTACTATATAGTTCAGATCACTAAATAGTATGTATCTACGTTCCAAATTTTTTTTTCGTCAAGACCATGTCATGCTACGAAAGAAGGCATATCTTGTAACTTTTACAGAAATGATCGAAATTTTAGAGGATCAGCTTTTAAAAACTTTTTTATGAGAGTTTAGTGTTATTAGTATGCAGGAAAAAATCAAGCCGTATTAACGATGTAATTTGATTTTATTCTTCTGTCTAGCGCATGATATACTATTTGTTTATATGTTATTTTCCACAGTGAAAAGTATCGATGTTTTGATATTTCACCTGAAGGACTATTACTAATAACTATAGTATGACGAATGAAATTTTTTAATCCCTAGATTTAAACAATCTTAAGCTGAATAATTTACTAGCAATATTTTTACATATAACGGTGAAAAATACCTCCATAGGAATGACAGGAACTTACTCTCATACTCAAGTGTGACAATGACCCTTCAAAAACAGTCAAGTCTTTCATTTATTTGGACGGCCATATGAGTTCTAGGTGATGATGTAGCAGTTAAAATAAAATGCGTTTTATGAAAACCAAGATAAATCATCCGCATTTAGTGCAATAATTGTGAAATTCTGATTGTAAAATTTCAAGAAAACAAGGCGTTTGATCTTAAGAGATTATTTGACTCCTTGTCTAATTTTCATAGTTGAAATCATTAGTCAATTGAAGCTAGACTACCATGGAAAACATGATTCAGTGGTCTAGTGGTTAAGCGCTCTGACGCGAGAATGGTAGGTCCTGGGTTCGAATATTGTGAAGCGGGATTGTGGCTACGCACTGCTGAGGAGTCCCACAATAGAACGAAACGGCCGTCCAGTGCTTCCAGGTTTTCCATGGTGGTCTGTCTTCAATTGACTCATGAATTCAACAATGAAAATACTGGAATCCCCACAAAACCCCTTCTCCTTGTCTAATGATTGCTTTCTCAAACATTTTGTTTGAATCCAGTGACAATAATGTGTAGAAAATATTAATATCAGATAAAATGTTTATGGATGATGGAAAAATTTGTTCAATAGTATTTATTTCCTTGAAATCTCGACGTTTTAGTTCAGTGATTTATTACGAATACAGGCTCTATTAAGTGCTAAAAATAGAGAAGGGGTTAATTTAAGATATTTTGCCACAAAATGATGTATAATTGTGTTTCATTTGAATCAATTATTTAGAAGCACTTAGCAGTTATCCTATAGTTTCCTGTTGCAATGCACCACTTTAAGTTTTTGTTTCGCCGAACGTTTCCTAAATGAACGGAATCTGTAATAATGTTTGCACTCTCACTTTGATTGTATTCCTTAATACATACTGTTCTTGCTTCCAATTAATTAATTTAAGTTATTGCCGCTTTAGTTTCTTAATAATATTTCGTATAGTGAGATAGCACACTTTATGTCCCATTGTATCATACCTTTTACTGTAGATAATTAAACTTTAAAACTAATTAACAAATTCCAAAAATAGGTTTTGCTTGGCTGTATCCATCTTTACTAATTTCCTGGCATTGAAAAAGTGATTGTTTATTAATAACATATATATGTGTTCGAATTAAAATAATAACTGCTTTGATGTTCCTTTTGAATACTTTAAACAATGCTTTTTCTAGAAAACCAAATGCAATCTTTTATGTATAAATAATCTCATAACATTGAAATAAGCCTTAGTTTTGTGTTGTATACTAATGATTCCGCTTTTTTCTCTAGTGGTTTCCTGAACATAGAGGCTTTGTGGTTGGACTGGTGGTTAGTGGATATGGTATGGGATCATTGGTGTTCAGTCCTATCCAAACATTTTTGATAAACCCAAACAATGTCCCAGTTAACAATGTGACAAGGTAATAAAACGAATAAAGTATTGACATTTCTAAACTGTAATAAGTAGATACACAAATAATATCTTATTTTGGCTACAAATAATCACAGTGCGTTCAGTCTATGTAGAATAGGGCGCGATCGAAAAAATAAGAAAATTCAACGGTGTAAAAAATAGAACACTTAGAGATAAATACGACAAAAAAGCACGATGAACAACTTGTTTTATGACCGGACTAGATATTACATCTTTTCAAAGACAGTCAAAATATTAGCCCCATTCGTCCTTACAACAGAATCACAAACAAATATTCAGCTATTAAGGGATAATGGAAAATAATTAAAGTTGTAATTCCTTTGATAAACGCTTTTATTTACATCATTCCAATTGAAAATGTAATAATGTTTAGCTTCCACACTGCCTAGAAATTTTGTTCAGAAATATCACAAACCTATGATCTTTTACCACAGTTTTATTTATACCATTAATTGGTTTAAAATTAAAGACTAGAATTTCTTTAGACTTTGAAAAATATTATTTGCTTTAGCGTGGAAATAAAATGCTACTTAATTAGGCATAGCTTGAGATAACGTATATTTTTACTGTTTCCGTAATTTTTCATTCCTAATTATCTTTATTCTTTAGACAGTTTGATGATCCTGAAATACTTAACAGACTGCCACATATATTTCTTGTTATTGGGGCTATTCTATCAGTTACTCAGATCATTGGTCTGATCTTACTGCGTTCAAAGCCTAAATGGAATTGTGTAAGCTTTTAATTTAAATATATTTCGATGTCAAAAACCACAAATTCTACTCCTATCTGTTTTGGAACTGTATTCAATTAGCATAGTGAATAGTAACTCAAATAAAATGGGATCGGTGAACTGTTGAAGTCAGTACTCACTTGAATTGGTTAAAGCACTTAACCCATGTTAACCTTCGCTTTATTTGTGTGAAGCTCACATAATAAAGAATAAATGTTTTCTTAAATAGAGTAGCATGATATGACTAAATATAACCAAGCATTCTTTATTATTGCCAATGTTGTCTTTCATATACTATTTAAATGCATGAATATATAATTAGAGAAGAATAAACCATTTTAAATAGGATGAAATATAAAATCATTGACAAGTCTAAGCTGATACTATAATCTAACTCACTTGTGATAAAAAAAAGACATTGTGTTCTTAAAGAGGAGAAATATTGAAATGAATGATTTTGACACACTAAAAATTTTAGTGATTTTTATTTCTGACAAATCAGCTAATCAATGTTCGTTGATTGTTACACACCGTTTAACTAGAACAGGTGACAACATCCAGTCAATGTCATTTGGGTTTTAACTGAAAAGCGATAAAGATCAATTTTAATGATCTTGTAAATATATTTATGATTGTACTAGTTATTGTAAATAGAAATAAATGTATATAACATTACTTATTTACTTACGCCTGTTACCCCTCATAGAGGAGCATAGGCCGCTCACCAGCATTCTTCATTCAACTCTATCCTGGGCAATCCTTTCCAGTTCTTTTCAGTTAACATTCATCCTTTTGATGTCTGCTTCCAATTCTCGGCGTAGTGTGTTTTTTGGCCTTCCATTTGCCTCGTGATGCCGTTTGGTGATTTCCTCAATATGTGTCCTATTCACTTCCAACGTCTTTTCCTAATTTCCTCCTCAGATATAAATTGGTTTGTTCTCTCCCACAGTAGGCTATTGTTGATGGTTTCCGGCAGTAGTATCTCACGTAGAAAATTGTTTGGAAATACCTTGGCTTTGATCCGTAATGTCGAAGTTTGGTCTGTTCACGACCGATCTTTACGGAATCCGGTCTGTTGATCCCGAAGTTGGACGTCTACTGAATCTTTGATCCGGTTGAGCAACACTTTGTTGGAAACGTCTCCTGGTGCTAACAGTAGTGTGATGCGTCTGTAGTTTTCACATTTGCTCAGATCTCCCTTCTTTGGTGTCTTGATGAGGTATCCTTCTTTTCAGTCCGTTGGCACTTGTTCTTCCTCCCAAATCTTCCTGAATAGAAGGTGAAGCATGTTTGCAGTTACCTCAATGTCTGACTTCAGTACTTCAGTCTGCTGCCTCCCCACTCTTGGTCTGTCTGATGGCCATCCAGATTTCTTCGACCGTTGTTGGAGTGATATCTTTAAGAAAGACTGTAGGTACTGCTTTATTATCCGGTGGATTCAATCGGGCTGGTCTATTCAGCAGTTCCTCGAAGTATTCTAACAATCTTTTCTCCTGTTCTCGAATCTCTGTGTTTGTCTTTCCTTCATTGTCCTTGAATGATCTCTCTGGTTTACTATATCTCCCTACTAGTTTCTTCGTTATGTTATATAGTTGTTTCATATTCCCTCTCTTGCATCTTTTTCCACCGTCGTTGCTAGCTCTCCCGCATGTTTCTGCTTGTCGGCTTTAATGTTCTTCACTTGCTTGTTTACTTTTGTGTATTCAGTTTGTGCGTTGAATTTCTGTGTTCTTGTTCGACGGTTGCTAATTGCTGTCTTCTTGTTTTTCCCTTCTTCAATCTTGTCCAGGGTTCTCATAGAGTTCCGTTCCTTATGATGATGCTTCTTGCGACCCAGAACCTCCTGACACGTTGAGGTTAGTGCTCCATTTACTCATTTCCAGTGTTTCTCTACAGTAGTTTTCTCTTCTTTGAGTAGTTTTGTAAGGCTTATAATCTGTTGTTGAATTGGTTGAGTTAGTCAATTTGTCGAAGTAAGGCTGTATGGAGCCTTTATATTTCTGTTTGTCTGGTCATACAGTGTTTCTTTAGCTTCAGTTCCATCTTGGCGACACTCCAGTGGTGATCTGAAGCCTTGTCGGCTCCTGTCCTCGTTCTCACATCTTCCATTGTCCTTCTGAAGTTTTTAACGATACAAATGTAATCTATCTGATTCTCCGTGGTGTGATCCAAAGAACATAATGAGCAGGGATGGATGGTGGCGAGCAGTGGTATCCAGGACATAGGTTTCGTTCCATTCTAGACTCGTCAGCTGAATGTACCTGCATCCTAGATTTTGTTTTCACTCCAGTGCTCGAACCCAGTACCGTTCTCATCAAACGCCATCGTGTTATCCACTCAGCTACTGAATTCTATGGCACACTTAAAAGTAATCGGATATGGTTTATACCATCCTTTTGAACTACAACAATTACAGGGATCATCGTCTATTTATCATTTATTACTAGTCTTTATAAGACAAAATACAGTGGCCGGACAACGTTAAATTTTTCCAATTACTTCAACAAACTCGATATAATAATGAGTAAACTAATTACATAGCATATGCTGCCTAAATGTTCTTGCCAGTTTTAGATTGACAAAACACAGTTACTGCGTCGTAAAACAAAACAATGTAGTTTAGTGTCAGTTTCCATATTATTGTATCAAGCTTGTGGAGATGAATTTAAACGTTAGCTGGTAAATAGCTAAAATGAATTAAATATGACTTTCTTGTCATTTAAACGTAACAAAACGTAGGCAGGTAGATCATTTGTCTCACATTTGACTGAATAACCAACTTTTAGTGTGTAAAATCAATTAATTTAGGTACTTATATCTTGGGGATGTCAAATCCCCAGAACTTACTTGATAAGTGGCTCAATTTTGTAATTTTATTTTGGAAATTTGAATTTAGCTGTTTTCGCGCCAAAACGTGCTCTTATTACCTTCACATCATATTTCCCACTTGTAACTATCTTAAACGCTGTTGGTCCATTGTTTCTTTGTGTGTGCTAATTATTAACGATGCCGAAGGACATTTCGTTGCTGTATAAATACGCTTGACTTTTTCCCTTATTTGATTACTGTGCTTCTGGCTGCTACGGAATATAACTTCCCCGCTCCAACTTGGACTTCTTACTCTAGTTAGCTGGGTCTGGGTCGCGTCAGTATAGCTAGTTATCGGTCTCTGGTCACGTGTCTTTGTTCCGTTCGTTACTAGTGAATTCGTAGCGTTTCAGATATATCATTATATAAGTGTAAATTCGCTGAATGTTGTTTACTTGTATCTTCCCACTGTTATTTAGGACTTTCATTGATCAGTCTCTTGTTGGCATATGTGCATCCTGAGTGAACTGCCTTGATATTGCCTGAAGTCACAAGCTTTATAAGCAAAGATGGATAGTAGCTAGCAGTGGAATCCAGGACGCGCGTTTCGTCCTATTTAGGTACTAAATAACATTGAGAAGATAAAAGTAAACAACACCAAGTAAATTTAAACTTCACCCCATTGCACAAGCAGGTGGCCATCAGGACTCAGTAGCTAAGTGGATGACGCGATGGCGTTTGAAGCAAGCGGTACTGGGTTCGAGTCCCAGAGTGAACATCAACTTTGAGATGCAGGTACATCCAGCTGACGAGTCACAGATAAGAGAAAACGCACGTCCTGGATTCCACTGCTAGCCACTATCCATCTTTAATTATATACGTGTATTTCAAAATAATACCAATAGCTGTGTTCTTGATATTTCCCAATAAACTACCATATTCCAACCCTTAGTTATCAATAAACCCTGCTAAACTCTGACGACACACTATTATTTGATCTCCAAAACATTTTCAACCATGTGAATGGGGCAAGCGAATAAGGTACTTGAATTTATCTTATTTCTACATACGTCCAGTAAAAATCGTAGTTCTTATAACTAACTGGCTGTAACTTCCTTACATCACTAGGTCACCAAAATGTAGGAGATTTTCCTGCTCGTTTGGATGCTCATTTAGACTCCGTTTTTCTTTTATCTTGTGTTATTCTTGTTTTTTCTTCTTTTTAAAAGAAACTTTTCGAAATACCTCCTTCTGAGAATTATATATTTTACAAAAATATAATATTGAATAAAGCCAATAATAATAATAGTAATAATAATAATAAGCAAGGTTTAGTTTCGCCTGTAACTATAAATCATATTTCACTGAGTGATCAATGTAATGTCACTTAGCGAATTATTGTGACTTGACAGAGTCAGGTGAGTATTGATAATGAGATACCATTATATTAATAAATTTCCAGTCACATCTCAAATTAATTTCTTGGCAGATGAGTTACTTACAACTGATTGATCACTGAGTAATGATCGATGTTCGTCTAGTTCTTTTGGGCTAGCTGAGGTATGTCGATCGAATCATAATTTGCCTACTATTCTAGGTGACTCAATGTCGTGTGTTGTTTTGATATTTCTGAAAGAATTGACATAAATAATTTATCTTTCAAATATTGTCTCTTAGGAAGATGATAAAATTGAAATCTTGGACGACAGTGGGTCTTCAGATTGTGAAATTATGGATGACGTAAGTTCTTAGAAATTACATTTAACGTAGCACATATATTACAAAATAACCATACTGATTTACGTATTAAACAATTGAACTAATCGCAGTTCTTACTCTCACTAATCGATTGATGACATTAGTTTAGATTCGCTAGTTTACTCTTGTATTATATGGTTAGCTTATGATTTCTAAAGGCATATTCTGAGGTAAAAAAGCCTTCTGACAAAAATAATTAATAAAATATAGATATTGAAAGTTGTTTTGTTTCCAACATTTCTTTGCAGAAAATCGAATTTCGTATTATTAAAATTTCATTAGACTTAGGTGAAAAGTTTCTTTTCAAAGTCTATCGTGTTTTATCTTCTTGATCTTCATAAATTGAAAATTTACAGAATTATACGTTCTTAATGAAGCAATTGCGAATCATATAGAAAGAAATAATTTAGCAATTACACTTGAGTGTGTTATTGTATCGATTTCTGACACTCTTCAATTCACTCTACAGTTGAGCGAAGGATTTTAAAAATTTTGAAATAAGAATTTATTCTGCTAAATTGTTTTTGCTAAACATCAGTATACCTTGAGCACCGAATTTTATCTTTATTTACTTAGGAGGTAAAATTTTCAAATTGTTCAAAGTGAGTTTCATTTGAAAATATTAATCGTTTTATTTTTTTATAGTTTGTGTAGAAAGAGTGTAAACATATATCGAGAAAAATAGCAATTTATTTGAGCGAAGACTGACATGAAAATAGGTTCTTATAGATAAACATTTAAAATGCAGCACAGTTTTTGTGGAAACTCATTAAAATTGGCTTAGAATAAGAGTAACTTTACATAATATAACAATAATTTTTCCAAAACAATTCAGCTATTTGATAATTTTGACTTCCATATTAACAAGGAATATAAAAATACTTAATAAGCATTAACGTTCCAAAATATGTTTAAAGTGGTGTGAATCTATATGCGTTATTAAACACTATTGCTTAATTTGCGCAAAAGTTCTCATTTTTATAAAATTATTTTGAGCAAGAAGAACAATCACAAAAGAATTATATATATTATTTTGTGGACTCTTTACAGTTGCTTAAACTGAAAACAACAAATGGATCCAGTTAGTCCTTTTCGTATTTTAATATCCTTACCTTATCTTCTCAAATGGTGTAACATTAATACGTTTAATAAGTTCAATAAAAATATACTCACAAAACAGCTATCTATTTATGGTATCTGTTAGTGGATGATTTAGGCAACATATGTGATTGACTAACAATTTACCAAATCATGAAACTACTGGAAAACATAACAAAAGTATGTTTGATGAGGTTAACGGTTACCAAATATCAAAAATTTTATCTGATTTTAGCTTGCAAACTTTATTCAAAAAGAGCTAATGTGACAGTCTGTTAACTAAAAGTATTGTTGAAAAGTGTAGTATTATCTAGAGCTATCCGAAGATTTGAAATCTAAAACAAATGTTCTCCAGGAATTATAAATTTAGTATGAATTCTGATATGGATTAGCTAAACGGGTAATCGTACAAAAATTAGTCACTGATCCTATAGCAATGAAATTACTTAGATAACTCTATATATTTGGAACAGAATAAGAATGTGCGAAATAAAATCAATAGAGTAAAGTAAATATACCTAGACAATGATTTTCAATGATACATTGGATTGTACTACTCAAATAAAAATAAGCCAAGAAAAATACTCATTAATACAAGCTGGTTTAAAACGCTAATTGATGGCTGTGAATATCTATCAGCGGTTATACGCAGTTTACTGTCTGCAAAAACAATAGTGAACATAAATTTATCACTTTATTAATAGCGTTCACTGAAAATATAATTTACTTTTAAAAGCGTCATTACCATTATCACAATATTCTCACAGTTTTTTTCATCCATTTTTGAAACGTCAGTCAGTAATGTAAGTGTCGTTTTACCCTGTCTATTTATTAGTAATATTTGTTAACTATCATGTTTTCAGATGTCATTACTTCATAGAAACCATCCAAGCTGTATCTTATTATTCTCTCAATTTATTTACTGTTATCTTGAACTATCAAATAATAATGGTAATATTTCCTCATGTTTATTTTAATAATTGTTAGTTAAAATCTTATACTTGTATGATAAGCCATATTGTTTACATATTATTATTTTAAAGTGCAGTGGACATAACACCTAGTCGATTGTTTCGTCATATCGACTTCTACCTTTTATGGTTGATCGAACTTTGTAACAGCATACCGCTTACACTTTTAACTTCTTCCTATAAAGTAAGTTTATTTTCACGTCAACTAATTATTATATTTAAGCTACTGGACATAGACTAGTATAATTAAAGAACATAATAGTCTGTTTATTAATATTTTTTGATTAACGAGCTCATCCAAATGTTTTCCTATCACTTTTTTAACAAGTTGTGAATAGTAATTAATCGTACAATTGTCTTCAGCTGCCCTAAAACCATAAATTTAAGTGCATAATTTCGTCTATTTCCATGAAAATGAACAGAAATAAACATGAAAGTAACTTGACTGTTGAAATATTTTAAAATTTCAAATGAGTTATTATTATTTTTGAGTTAGTATTGCTACACTAGCATGATAACATCAATGTTAGAACGGACCAAGCGGGAGAACTGTAGACCACATGGCTATTACACAGTGATATTTCTACGATATACATGATATATATGAAGAATGCAACAGAACATTATGTCAAAAGAAATCGAAATGAGAAAAGTGGATAGTTTATTAATAATTTAATACTGAACTTTAGAATATAGATAATATTATAATTCATTATGACGAATAAGTGATTCTAGACAACCAGTTGCAGAAAACGTTCAGAATTAGTGATTTTAATTATCTGTGGATGTTTAAAGTTTAGATAACACCAACAGTACAATTTTCGGGTGACCAAGATAGAAAATCTTCTTGAAATTTACAATCATGCATTTTCATCCAACATTTGTTACTGATACTATAGATATTAAATCCATTAGGGAACGAATAAACTCGTCAGTAAAAGTGTTGTACCTTCGTTTAATTGGAAATGTTTGCTTGATTATGTCTAATTGTAATTCATCATTTTTTTATTTTTACATGAAAACGTAGTGTTTTTCTTTGAAAATTTTGTTTCATGTATTCATGTTTAACAAATCGTTTATCTTATCGCAAATATAGAAGGAAACTGAACATAGAGTAGTATCAACATACATTGCCTTCAATATGCTACCAGTTAATAATAACTGACGGATTCCAATAGACATTCTTATTTCTTTCTGATTATAATGATAGTGCTTTTGTGAAATCAAAATGATTTGGTGAAGATAAACATTTATTTGGGTCGAAAAACCCAAGAAATGACAGTCTTCTTGTTCAATACGTTTTTCGTTTTTGATAAATATGACACAACTGATGAAACTAATCCAGCCGATCTGTAGAAATGAACGTAACTTTTATGAGCCATTTCTACAGCAATCAACTTGACTCAATTACTTAATTTGTACGTCTAAAAGTTTATAAGGATTCAAAACGTTTTATTTCAAAATACTGATTCAGATAACTTTAGATATATACATATTTTTTATAAGATAACAAAATATAGTAAACGTTATTTGGTTCATTTTACCACTATTATACAAAGTAATGACCAGTATTATTTCTTGTTTCATGACGATGATTACGTCTTATCATTTGTAAACTGCTAAACGATTTCAAATTACTAGTTTGTGACGAAGCAGGACTTTCCAATAACCTGAATAGTTTTATGGCCGGAAATTCTCTGCTGAGAAATGAAAAGATATTTTGCTGTTTTCTATAAGTTTTGTTCATTATAAAATAAACTAGCTACGAGTGGTATTTTCATACTATTTTTTCATGTTGTACCACATACGAGATCACGCAAATTTCTTTATTAAATGAGAAACACTCTGAAAACGAATCATAAACGTCATATTTAAACATACTTTTAAGTTCTTCTAAACACCAGTCTTAATCACTGGATACATGACTAATCTCTTTTTTATAAATCCACGTAACACTGAAATATTTTGTACGTGAACCTATTATTTTTCCAAGAAAATGTGCTTAAAAAACTTATTTCGTGTCTCGTCAGCATGACGATCACTAGTTATCGGAATGCTTTCTTCAAAGTTTGTCAATTTAAAAACTATGGTAGAAATACCATTCTTTAGTATCTCTTTGCCTTCACTGATATTTCTAACTTACCAGCATCTCATACCACTCAGTAAAGTTGTTTACATTGTTTTCAGTTATTTGGTCAGTCGTTTATCAGTGACGATAAGTACTTAACAATTATAGTTACAATGACTGCTGTTTTCAATGCCAGTGGCCGTATTTTATGGGGAACAATTGTAGACCAATTTTCATATAAGGTGAGATATTTATCATATAACTAGTATGAGGAAATTCCGAAAAATATTCACAAATCTGCAAAAAAAATGTTAGATCCAGTCATCAGTTTGAAAATCTAACCGAATATGTCACTTTTATTTTGAGGATCTAAGATCTTCCTTTTTAATAAACCAATCATATATCCAAGAAATGTGTTACAATACTTCAATGCATATTATGATGTTCATTTTTGTCCTTTAATGAACCAAAGGTACGTCGAATGACACATTTTCACTCACCTCTACTATGGAGTTAAAACTAATACGTACAGAGTAATCAGGTCACACCTGTAACGGAAAAATGCTATATAATTGATTGTTTCCATCTTTCGGACTGATAATTATAATTGACGTTTTATTTCATTTGGTACAGTAATAAATTCTAACCATAAAATACAAAAAATTAACGTTGATCAGATAATTTGATAGGCATGACAAGTATGTTAAACTCTATGGATATTCTCATCCTATTGAAATTTCAGTTTGGAACTTCTAACACATAAATTAAATTTATTCATGCCTACCCCATTTAAACCGTAGTTACCTCGATATTTGCACAGTAAAATTGCTCAAGAAATGGACGAACCTTTTACCGTTCTTAATGGTGAAAGATAGTCCTAGTTATTTATTTATTCATTGAAAGTGTCGTCTAATTATATACCTGAAATGAATTTCAGTGGTTCATTTGTATCTAGACAAACGAATACATTAAAAATAATATATTATTTAAACTTGTTATTCAGAACAAGAATGAGAGTGAACATGTACTTTGAAATTCCTGAAATTGATGGCATAATATATACAATCAAGCTTAAGTTGAAAGTCTTTTTATCAATGAAGTAGCAGCTTTAGTATCTAGTCTATTTTTTAAAATTTCTCAAGTGAATTTAAATGATTGTTTTACGCAGTATATGAAGCTTTAAGCGTATTCTGCGCAGACTTTCAGTTATGAACCATATATTTTAATTCTAGATGTAGAAAATCTTTATTCAACAAAGTGATAACGTACTTCTTTTCAAATTGGTATACATTTTAATGGATTGGAAATATCAATGTAAACTTTATCGATCAGAAACAACAGTAATGTCTTGTTCATATGGTTGTGATTAGCAGTTTTTATCAACTTTTATGCATTTTCATTACTAGTTATGCCATGGGACTGTTAGTGATTATTCGTAAATTGATGATCTTGCTAGTGAAAGTCAACCACTAAGTTTGATTTCTACTAAAACCAGAAGTAATATAATACTGTATATATTTAATAATCTATAGTGGTGTACAACTTTTAAGAAATCGGAGTATAATTCTATACAGACTGGAGTGGAAATTAAATATTCACATTTAAGTCAAAGAAGTACACTATTTTTCAGAAATTAATTATATGGATAATTATTGTTGACATGTATTTAATCGAAATGTAGAATCTCACTTTTTTCATGTCGTAGATTCCATTTTGTATAATAAGCCTGATGTGGGCCATCCTTCTTTTGACGTTCCCTTACATCAGTCTGACGGATGGATTGACAGCGAAAATACTTTATTGTATTTGGGGTATTGGAGGTTTTCTTTTCTTAAGCAGTGTATCAACAGTGGCTCCAGCAGCCATAGGGTCGATGTTCGGATGCACAAACATGGCTATCAACTACGGGATAATAGCATGTGCACGGGTACGTTTATCTATTTCTTGTTTATGAATATCGATATTTTTTGTATTTATCATTTTCACACTTGAAACGCTAACAAAGTCTTGTTGTTTTCGAACAACAGCTAAGTCAAGTCTTCTAGTCTTAATGCAGATTAGGGGCTATGCAGAGAATACTCTTAATGAAGAAAACGAAGTGATATTAAAAATAACTCCTTTTTAAAAGTTACTTTGAGTAGGGGGTTTGTAAAGATTTTTGAATTTTAGTGAAATCACAGATCGACCCAAAGTAAGACAAACGTTAAAATTTTGGAAGCACTAGACGGCCGTTTAGTTCTAGTTTAAATCTCCTTGATAATCCTCAACAACAACCCTGCAACCGGGAATCGAATCCAGAACCTTCGGTTTTTGCGTCATTACAATTAACTTCTAGAATACTAGGTATATTTCCAATGATATACAAGTCTGACTGAAACCAGTCCACAATAGTGTGAAACCATATTCCATTATCTTTGGTGAGTAACTTCCTCACACACAACACAGTTGAACCTCGTTGGTTATGGTCTAGTGCCACCATGTCTTTAATGGTCGTCTTCCTTTGGTTGGTTCGCGATTTCAAATCAATTAAAATTTAAACATTTAATCAGCATAACAAAAGTACCAATCCGAATCTACGAGTACTGTAAACTTTCACTGACCTCCGTATTTTTTATCCAGTCAGTTCTTCAGATGATTTCAAAACCAACCATTCATTTCATTAATACAAATGTAGATAAATGCCGTCAATTTAAACAAAGTTTAGTAATGAAGTGCATCTGTTTAACAGCTGATATGTACTAGAATTCGTTCCAAATAACGTAATTATAGAACAACAGGCATTCACTGTATGAAAATCCTTATCAATTTATTGATGATACATTCATTCGTTCAACGATTCGGATTAGAATCACCTCAAATTATATTAATGACTTTATTTAAACCATTTTTAGTCATAACAGTAGTTTGCACTACACATAAAAGTTGGATTTATTTTTATGTAAGAGATTTAACAATATATTACGCTAGTTGATGAAAATAACTTCGCCTGTAGCCTTTTTTGGGGCTACTGCCGGTCCCGACCCCGGATAAAAGAGGAGGGTTGGGCATGGGGTTAGCGACCCCATCCCGTAGAAAACTAAGTCGTTAAAAATCGCTACCTTGAAAAAATTATTCAAACCCCTCAAACTCTATCCTAGTAGTCTGAAGGTCTTCATTTAGAAGGGTTGTGACGCCTGATGGTGAAAGCCGAGTTCCTTCGGAAGCCATGAGGCCGATGCCCCTTATGACAACCAGAGCAACCATTTATCTAGGTATATGGAATGCTCGTACAATGTGAGAGACCGAAAGAGTCTTCCAAATTGCTGCAGAAATTAGGAGATACAGCCTGAAGTTGCTTGGAATCAGTGAAACACACTGGACGCAGGTTGGACAACAACGACCATCTCCACGGGAGCTTCTCTGATATTCCGGCCATGAAGAAGAAAATGCCTCACATACACAAGGAGTTTCATTGATGTAAGAACCAGAAGAGGAGCTGATATAGCATCAACTCATCACTTGCTGGTCGCCAGGATGAAATTAAAACTTAAGAAGCACTAGACAACGGCGCGGACAGTATCACAAACGCTTTATACGGCTTTGCTTCGGATACGGACAAACTCAACAAATTCAAGATAGCCCCCAACAATAAGTTCCAGGACTTTCATTATCTACTCAATGAAGACGGAACTGCCATGGAGAGCAACTGGAAAGGGATAAAAGAGACAATCACTTCAACATGTCAGGAGGTTCTGGTTCACAAGAAGGTTCTAGAACACAATTCGCCATGACAGAATAATATTTCAAGGAGTGAGGCTTTATCTACAGAAAGTTTTCATTATGCTCATTTACTTTTATTGTTGTTATGTCATCACTGTTCCTCAGATGTGACTGGTTTTACATGAAAAGCTACTGAAATAAGGACTACAGCTAAAAAGAACTAAGCTACTCAAGTCGATATTGATATTATTAACTGGCAAATTGTAAAACAAACCTAGCACTGCTGAAGCATAAAAATTAACAACCAACCTGATTATTCAATTTTAAGAGTAATAAGCTCATGCAGTCAGGGAGAAGGTAAAAAAATTGACTCCGAGTGGTTCCGTTACTTAACAATTCCAAGACAGTGAGTGTGTTTCTTTGGTTGCACATCCTCATACAAGGAGCTGAAAGATCTCAACTAAATCTAGTTCGAAGGACAAGTATGTATCCAGCTGAGGAGACAAAAGCCACTAATTGTTATCCACCCGAAATCTTGCCAATTTCTATGGAATCCGCAAATGAACAGAAATAAGCATTGTGGCAAAAAAATTGAAAATAAACAATAATAGCCTGACATACTGAGCACATATACAGGTATACATAAATGTTGTCAAAGACTGAGGCGTGAAGGATTCCGTAATTTCTATCACAAACTACAGCGAAACTAAGACTAAGAGAACGAAATTAGCTTTGAAGAGACATGGAGAACTCAACAAATTAAAGATAGCCCCTAACAAAAAGTTCCAGGAATTTCATTATCTACTCAATGAAGACGGAACTGCCATGGAGAGCAACTGGAAAGGGATAAAAGAGACAATCACCTCAACATGTCAGGAGGTTCTGAGTCACAAGAAGCACTAGCACAAGAAATAGATCACTGTTAATGCACTGGATAAGATTGAAGAAAGGAGGAACAAGGAGGAAGCAATCAACAACAGCCGAACAGGAGCAGAAAAAGCCAAGGCATAAGCCGAATATACAGAAGTAAACAAACAAGTGAAGAGGAGAATCAGAACCGACGAACGCGAACATTTGGAAGATTTGGCGATGACGACGGAAGGCGCTGCGAGAGAAGGAAAACATGAAACAATTGTATAACACAACAAAGAAACTTGCTGGAAATTACCGTAAACCGGAACGACGAGTGAAAAGCAAGGAAGGCAAGGTGATCACCAACATTGAAGAACAACGAAATAGGTGGGTAGAACACTTCAAAGAACTCTTGAATCGACCAGCCCAACTGAATCTACCCAACATCGAAGCAGCACCCACGGATCTCCTAATCGATGTTGGCCCAAGAAAAATTGAAGAAATCAGCATGGCCATCAAACAAATCAAGAGCGGCAAAGCAGCAGGACCAGACAACATTCCTTCAGAGGCACTGAAAACAGATGTAGCAGCAACTGCGAATGAACTGCATATTCTCTTCAGTGAGATTTGAAATGAAGAAAAAGTACCAACAGACTGGAAAGAAGGACTTCTGATCAAGATATCGAAGAAAGGCAATCTCAGCAAGTGTGATAACTACAGAGGAATCACTCTTCTCTCAATACCAGGTAAAGTCTTCAACAGGTTATTGTTAAAAAGAATGAAGGACTCCGGAGACGCCCAACTTCAAGATCAACAGGCTGGATACACCTAGGTTGCAGCTGGACGATTTAGACTTCACGGATGATGTGACTGTTCTATCACACACGCAACGACAAATACATGAGAAGACGACTAGTGTAGCAGCGGCCTCAGAAGTAGTAGGTCTCAATATAAACAAAAGGAATAGTAAGACTCTCCTATACAATACAGCATGCACCAATTGAATTACACTTGACGGAGCAGCTTTGCAGGATGTGAAAACCTTTACATATCTGGACAGCATAATCGATGAACACGGTAGATCTGATGCAGATGTGAAGATGCGGATAGGCAAAACGAGAGAAGCAAGTTTACAAGTGAAGAACATCTGGAAGTCAAAACAATTGTCAACCAACACCAAGATCGAAATTTTCAATATAAGTGTCAAGACAGTTGTACTGTATGGAGCGGAGACGTGGAGAACTACGAAAGCCATCATCCAGAACATACGGATGTTTATTAACAGTTGTCTATGCAAAATACTTCGGATACTTTGGCCAGACACTATCAGCAACAACCTACTGTGCGAGAGAACAAACCAGATTCCATCCAGAGGAGGAAGAAATCAGGAAGAATCGCTGGAAGTGGATAGGACACACATTGAGGAAATCACCCGACTGCGTCACAAGGCAAGCTCTCACATGGAATCCAGAGGGCACAAGAGGAAGAGGAAGACCAAAGAACACATTACGCTGAGAAATGGAGACAGACATGAGACGAATGAACAAAAATTGGATAGAACTAGAAAGGAAGGCCCAGAAAAGAGTGTGTTGTAGAATGTTGGTCGACGGTCTATTCTCCATAGAGAGTAACAGGAGTAAGTAAGTAAGAAAGGTGATGAAAATGTAAAATTAGAGGATCTTAATTTCTTTACATTTTCAACTATTTTTATCATTAACTATTATATAAAATGTCGAACTATGGGACCGAGAAGCCGTTCAGTGTTTAAAACAACTGAAATAAATGTGGAGACAATGGCTGACATTTGTCCACTTTCAATCTCCTTGTTGTTTAAATTGAAAACTGACTTGGCCATGACAATATCAATACATATTACTATGAAACTGTTGTTTGAAAACAGTTCTGTATGACTACACTGAACAAATTTTTCTAATAAACAAGAAGCTAACGATTGTCACAGTTTTTGTTACAGTAAGATTTATTTCGTATACAAACAAAATAGTACGACTTATTGTATCAATGATGGGACAGTTATATTGTAGAACACACATATGTAGACCTGTTTGTATTTCAACTAGCTTAGGGCTTTCTTATGTTAATGTTAAACCTTATTAATAATTTTGTATTTAGTCTTGTATAATTAACCATAACGTTTCACGCATGTTCATCGATAAAAGATTATTTTATGAAGTTATGTGCTTGTTCGTTTAGCTGCTTATATGGAAACAAATTTTATTTTTGTATTAGGCCTACAGTAACTCATTTACACATTCACTTATTAATTCATTAATTAGCTGATTTCACCGGGTACTGGTTGGACTGTATGATCTGTTCTCTCGAAGCTAATTTTTCAAAGGAATTCTATCTTTCGACTTCTTAATTTGATATATTGTTTTAAATTATGTAATTGAAGGCGGTTGAACCTATCGATCTACAACTTTGAGTACATTATTCACGCAGCTAGACTACAAAGTAATGAGCCGTAAAGATAACTCAACTCGCATACCTACAGCCGGAACAACTGAATCAACGAGGAATAGTAATTATTTTTAAACTGTAGATTACTAACGTTACTATTTTTTACAAACATTATTGAATATAATATAGCTGATATTAACAGTTTTTAAAACATGGTACATACTAAACATATAAGGACAAGTCGATGTCGGCCCGAAATGTCTGTTCCGCTTTTACTGTTGTTTTATCATACCATATTCTTGATATATATATATATATATATATATATATATATATATATATATACTGTCCTTAAACATTGGTTCTTCTGATTTTCGTAGCGTCCCATTCGTGGACACTTTTACCCTTTTCGTTTCTTATTTTGGATCTATAGGTTCCCACTTATGGTTTGCTGGATTAGATAACCATTTTCTAGCTAATTTTGTGACACTGTTAGACATTGAATTCAGCTAAGACGTTCCACATTTTCCAAATAAGATATCACGTTCTTTATTTCCATATTAAAGCAGATGAGACGCATCTTATGGTTCCTTCAAGAAAGTTGTATTAAAGGCACTTGCACCATCGGACTGGGAAACGATATATAAGCTTTTCAATACAGTTCAGATATGCGACAGGAAATGGTTATAGTTGAAGATTCATATTCTAGAACTGCGTAGCTATTAAAAGGTTAGAATTAGATTCTTTTATTTAATGCGGCTCAAATACCTATCTCAAAATAAATGAAAAATCCTAGCATTTGGTGATGGTGATGTTAACATCGATTAAAAATCTAAAATTTCCGAATGTGTCTTCAGTTGTGATTGTTGTATTGCTATGAAATCTAAGTAGTATATATGGATAAAAATACTGAAGAGTACATATTCAGGAGTCAGATAATACTCGTAATTAAAGCAAATACGGCTCACTTTCAGCCAAAAATGAACACTGGTATCAGATAAATGTCATAAGTCTGTTTATTTTCAAATGTCTACAGTCAATCATGATACTATCGCACTGACTTGAATACTCAACGAACCGGACAAACGATTTAAACGCGTCCACTTAGATATCATCCAACTGTTATCACCATTCAAAGTTCATATATATACACTAATATGTGTAAATAGATTCACAAGATGACCCGTACCTATCTCACTAAAAAAGAAGCTTGGATTGCCAGAAAAGTCACCAAGCACGCCATAGCATATTTTGAGATCCCAGCAGTGATTTTACGGACAGAATTGGAGTCTGAGAGATATCTCTTTCAGAAACTGATGGATCTTTTGGACATCAGGAGAATAAAAACCGTACCGTATCACACTATCCTAAATAAAATGATCTAACAGATTCCACCGACAACTAGCTTTAATAATAGTCCAAAATAACAGCAAATAAATAAGTTAACTGCCGATAACCATGCTTGAAATTTTTCCTAGCAACGGGCGAGAAATCGTTTGTTGTGCTGTAAAAGTTAGTTGATTTCCTGTTGAATATTCTCAGTTATCGAGTGAGGTTTCAGTTAGTTCATTTAATTATGTGTGACAGTAAACACGGCAAATGACAGAGTTGAGACAAGTAACTAGACGAAAGTATCAAAATAAAATGTTCTTTCCTGGCATACTTCACGGCTCAACACACGCCTCTGTCCGAAATAACAAAGCACAACCGCCTTGGTACAGTTTATTTAAAGAGGTAAAGAGAAGTAGTAAGCGTTTTACGATAGACAGTACAGGAAAACCAGACATCACCACCAAAGAACGGGCTAAACAGACATTGGTGAAGAGTGATGAGTGGCAGATACAAATGGCAACCCGAAACCATCGCATAGAAAGATAAAACTCAACCTACAGCTGAAATGTTACAGAAAGGAACTAAGTTATCAACAACAACTAGGTACGAAAGGATAGTCCAGGGATATATAACCATCATCACGAATAAGTTTATTTTCTGTCCCTTGCTTTGACTAAATCCAAACTCATTTCCTTATATTTCGTTCAAAGACAATAAACTATTGAATAATAGATCGATTATGTATATTATATCCTTATAAACATACTTTTCCAAATATTTTACAATTTTCATATACAATTTTCCCATAGGCCCATAAAATCTTCGTTATTCTTGCATTCTGATGTTATGCAACTCTTAGATGTGCACTAATTATCTTGAAATTTAAAATCTTAACCCTGTTATAATATTCAATTCAACGTTTTACATTTGGATCTTTAGCTATTTTAGATAACAATTCGTCACAATTAATAATTATTTTTGACGGTCCCTTTGGTATCTCACTAATGTCTTCATTCAACTCATTTCCGTATGTAGTATCAAACCCCAAAGTTCCGTGAAGTAAATTTCCATATAAATGTATATCAAGCAACCAGCTTTTAATTTTGAAATGAACCACACACTTTTTAAAGCTTTTATTTCAGAACCATTGGCCGAAAATTGTAGGACTGTATTTCATTTACACTATTTTATCCACATGCTTTTATTTTGGCAGCAAACGCATATCATTGAATAATTTCAGTAACAATCAGTTCCCAATTATTTTAAGCACATATTACGCAGTAGAAAACATGTCCGAAAGTAACGATTTGAACTGAACTAAATTCTTGTAATCATTGTATCTTTATATCGACTACTTTGAAAATTTTCAGAAAATGAAATCTGTGGTGATTTGAGAATGATTTCTTTACCACTTCTTATGTCTCAAATCTTATTTATTTACAAGTTTTCTTGTTTGCTTCCCACCAAAGTGAATTATCCTAATCATGATCCTTGACTCCCGGTGACTGAGAAGCTCGTGATTTCTTTTCGATGTAGTCCCGCTAGTTTAAATCATTCTACTACTTACTAAGACTAAATGTTCATTGTATGTGAAACTACTTATCCTCGAACCTGTACAACGTGGATAATATGATAATCTGTTGGGTTGTAGCCACCATTCTTACATTTTAAGCATAACGAGTTCTATGATAATTGTTTTTGATATATTTAGTTCCCTTGGTAAACTTGTAAATCATGAACAAGAAAGATTTTGAGGATAAGTCAACCCCTTTTCATTCTGCGTGTTCCAAATCTCCCACACACTGATTATTGCAAATAAATAAAGTGTTTTTGTGCATAGTATACTGTTATTTAATTAAATAGTTCAAATTAATTATTTTAAATAATTTTACTTTTATTTTGGTTTAATATTCACAAGAAACGATATCAGCTTAAGTTCAGATGACTTTCTGTGTTTATTCTAAGACGTTTTCAAAAATTAACTGAATGATTTGGCTTCACGTACTATAGATTTTGAAGCGACTTCAGACAAAAATATTTATCGAATTTCCTTTCACTTTCACAGTCTTGTCATAAACTGAAAGACAATAAACTTAACTAAGTAGTCAAATAATTTTCGTTTGAAATATTATCATTTTAATCAACAATGTGAAGTGAGATACATAATCAATTAATTATTTTAGACATTCATTCTTTAATAAATGGTTGTATATCAGATAAACGTAATTAAAAAATTTTTTAAATAATTTTTATAGTAATCAATCATATTTGTTACTTAGATGTGATTTATTTACCGAAAACTATGCACTTTCTTGTGGAAATCGATAATGCGTTTATCCTTCGTTATTCTACATAGGCTATAGGATGCCCTTTGTGTGCCTTTGTCCTCACATTTATCAGTTCAGAGAACCTATACATTGTCCAGTTTACTATGTGTGGATCTGCGAGCCTAGTAGGTGAGTAATTCAAAATCAGTTAAAAATGATGTTCAACTATATAACACAATAACTTTCATTGTTTTCAGTTGCGAAACATCTTCAAAATTATAATTTCAATAGAGTGCAGGACAAATTTAATTACTTAAAAATACCATAAAGTAAAAAGAACATACATTTATTTAAACATATTTTCGGCTTTGTTGTTATGATTTAAACTTTCTCCAGAATCTGTTCGTTCTGTGTAAGCTTTGATAACCCGGGGACGGGAAATGTTGAGTAATAAAACAGTAAACAAAACCTGTATGTCTCAAGAAAATGAATCAAAAACAGTTACTTTTATTCTTTTAATGCTTGGTTCCCACATGTGACTGAGTTTCTCCACTTACTTTAATATAACGGTTGACAAAAAGACCTTGTTATGGTGTTTGTGACTGACTTAAAATATGTCTATGAGAACTAGTATTGAATTATAAATATTTTGTAACCAAAAGAAAGTCTTACACAATTATATTAAAGGTATGGTGAAAGTATGTAACGTAATCTGCAACATTTTTGAAATGCAGTATCTCAAATACAAAATTAACTGTAATTTTTGTTGAATTCTACAGCTTTTCTTCTTGCCTTATGGATTGAAGATCACAAAATACCGAAGAATTTAAATTGTTGCGCAGTTTGCTCTAAGACATGCAGCCATTTGCGTATCCAAAGAAAATAGTGACATCTCAAATCGGTTTTTCCATTCTTTTTGAAGTAAGGTTATAATTGTATTGATGTAAAGATTTTGACACTTACGGTGTTATATTCTCTTCGATTATTGATTAAATAAATGTACTTCTTAACAAACCTGGCTTTCTATTTCCTTTTTTATTGTTTATTCATTAACTGTCACTAGCAATGTAGAAAGTAAATGTAAAAGTAATTTTACAGACCAACCATCCATGCATTTGCTTAAAATAAAACAATGTACAAGGTGTGATGAGAGATAATTATGATATTCAAATGGAAGTAATACAGTTTCACGCAAATTATTTTCCTTACCATGATGGTCACAAAGAGCTCAGTCATTTAATGTTTTGCTTTTCTAGTAAGATTAGGACCAATTAAAGCATCAACAGAACTTATACATGTTTGATATGCTCTGAACACTACTCTTTCCGTTAAAGTTATTTCAAATATTTTTTGTGCAAAATATAATTTACAATTTTCATAAGACTTTCCCCTACTCTAATGTGTACAGAGCATGATGCAGTGTGTATATCAGCATATTTTCGAATAAATGTTCTCTCAAATGTAAGACACTCAGTTTTAGATAACTGCATCGGCTATTGATATGTAACATACTCTGGACGTGACAGTATCGGATATCACTGGGTCCCAAATAAGTTAATCTATTCTGATGACAAACTAGAGAAAAGATTAAAGTGGCTGAGAGGAATAGCGTTGTATATTATCCTTGTCACGTCCTGTCCATAATGCTAAACTGACCGAATTCAGCTTTTATTGTCTGATAGTGTCAGAATCAAC